TGGTTGAGTTTGGTGTGTTTTCAGATGTTGATGCAGCATGTGATGCAGAAATATTGTTTTCAATTGCTGTAACACGAGGATTAGCCTTGGTTTTTCTGGCTGGTTTTCTGGTTTTGGTTACTCTAGTTGTTGAAGAGGTTGAAGAGGTTGAAGAGGTTGAAGAGGTGTTTCTTCTATTGGAGTTTCTTGTGACAGCCATTGTTTCTAGTTGATGTTGATTTAATGATCACTTGTTTTATTTTATTCGTGGTTTTAACCTGACAGAATATCCTCTACTGTGTGTATATAAGGTAATTCCGATGTTCTATTAATATACATATAATGTTACAATTAGTGGATTCTTGATTCTTCTTATAGTTGATGTGAAATGTTGAGTATTGATGAATTGTGCATAATTGGTTATTCTGGTTATGTAATACCTGACAGAAACAAATTTGAAGTGCAGCTTAACGTGTCAGCAAAAGTGTTCAGAGAAAAGTCTACAATTAGTTTTAAAAGCACCTAAAATAACATTATATTAAAAATCAATTAAAAATATATATCCAAAACTATAAGCAAATATATTAAATAAGAATCTAATCAACTTCTTCCATTTCAGTTTCAGCAACTTGCTCTTCAGATGGAGCTTGAGTTGAAGCTTCTGGTTCAGCAGCAGCAGAAGTTTCTTCAGTTTCATCAATGTTCAAACCTAAAGAAATCAATCTGTTGATTCTTGAAGCAAATGAAGTTGGTTCTTCTAAAGTGAAACCTGAAGTCAACAAAGCAGTTTCATATAATAAAGTGGTCAAATCTTTAACAGTTCTATCTTGAGCACCATCAGCTTCAACTTTGTTTTTCAATTCTTTGATGATTGGGGATCTTGGAGAGATTTCAAAGATTTTCTTAGAAGCCATGTAAGATGACATTGAAGTATCTCTTAGAGCTTGAGCTTTCATGATTCTTTCCATGTTTGCTGACCAACCGAATTGAGCAGTTCTAATAGCAGCTGGAGCATCAACTAATTTATGAGAAACAACAACTTTTTCAACTTGATCACCCAAGATTTCTTTCAGAGCTTTAGCCAAGTTTTCAAATTCAGCTTCTTCTTTTTCTCTTTGAGCTTTTTCTTCTTCAGTTTCTTCCAATTCGAAATCTTTAGTAATATCAACTAATTTCTTGTCTTCAAATTCTTTCAATTGAGTGAAGGCATATTCATCAATTGGGTCAACTAAGAATAAAACTTCAAAGTTTTTAGCTTTCAAGATATCCAAGAATGGGGATTTTTCAACAGCTTTTAATGATTCACCAGTGATGTAGTAAATATTCTTTTGATGTTCTTGCATTCTGGTAACGTAATCAGATAATGAAGTTAATTCTTCAGTTGATTTAGTTGAGTTGTAACGTAATAATTTGGCTAAAGCAGTTCTGTTTTGAGAATCTTCATGGATACCTAATTTCAAGTTTTTACCGAAAGCGGTATAAAATTTGTCAAATTGTTCAGCATCTTCAGCAATTTCATTGAAAGTTTCAATTAATTTCTTAACAATGTTCTTTCTGATAACTTTCAAGATTTTGTTTTGTTGTAAAGTTTCTCTTGACAAGTTTAATGGTAAATCTTCAGAATCAACAACACCTCTAACAAATGATAACCATTCTGGGATTAATTCTTCAGCTTCATCAGTAATGAAAACACGACGAACGTATAATTTGATGTTGTTCTTCTTCTTTTTAGATTCGAAAAGATCAAATGGAGCTCTTTTTGGAATAAACAAGATAGCTTTGAATTCTAATTGACCTTCAACTGAGAAATGTTTAACAGCTAATGGATCTTCCCAATCGTTTGAGATTGATTTGTAGAAAGCATTGTATTCATCTTGAGTAACATCACTTGGGTTTCTAGTCCATAATGGTTTAGTTTTGTTCAATTCTTCTAATTCAGTGACAGTTTCTTTGACTTTCTTTTTCTCTTTTTTTTCTTTGTCTTCTTCTTCATCAACTTCTTCTAATTTTGGTTTTTTGTCATCTTCATCTTTCTTTTCTTCTTCAGCTTCTGGAGCATCTTTTTCAACTTCTTTGGTGACTAATAATTGAATTGGGTAAGAAACGAATTCAGAATGACGTTTGATAACTTCTTTAATTCTTTTTTCATCCAAGTATTCTAATTGATCTTCTTTCAAGAACAATCTCAAGATGGTACCACGTTTGATTCTTTCATTAGTTTCATCTAAAGTAACAGTGAATTTACCACCAGCATTTGATTCCCAAATATATTGTTCATCGTCATTGTTTTTGGAGATAACTTGAACTCTGTCAGCAACCAAGAATAAGGAGTAGAAACCAACACCGAATTGACCAATCATAGAGACATCAGCACCTGCACTTAAAGCTTCCATGAATGATTTGGTACCAGATTTAGCAATGGTACCCAAGTTGTTAACTAAATCAGCTTTGGTCATACCAATACCAGTATCTCTGATTTCCAAAACTTTTTGTTCTGGTTTTGGAGTGATTCTGATGAATAATTCAGGTTCAGTTTCCAATTTGGATTTATCAGATAAAGCTTCATATCTAATTTTGTCTAAAGCATCAGAAGCATTTGAAATCAATTCTCTTAAAAAGATTTCCTTGTTTGAGTAAACAGTGTTGATGATCAAACTCATCAATTGAGTGATCTCAGCTTGGAATTCATAGGATTCAGCCTTTGACATTGTGAAAGTAAATAGTAACCGCCGTTAAAAGAACTTGTGTTTGTCCAATTCGAAATGGTTGGCCACTGGAAACAACAAGTGGACGTCGATGATTTATATCTTTTTTTTTCGCCAGCGTTGACGCTGAAAAACCAGAATCGCATTTTCTCTAGAACATTCTACACATGCGAAGGTTCTCAGTATGGAGATGATGGATTATAGCAAAAACACCAGAGTGTGATATGGAATTGAAAAGAAGAGTATAGAATACATTTATTTTATGAAAAATCCACTTTATACGAAAAAATCCCCATGAAAATGGTGTAATTATTGATGATTTTATCCCCAGAAACAACGTGTGTTACCCGGTGTTCATCACATGACATGGTACGGGCACTCGCGTAATAACCATGATTTAATTGACCATCTAAATTCAACACTTTCTAGTAAATTCTCTACAATATCATGCTATCATTTCAAATAAAAATCAGCTGTGTATTGGCCACTGATAACAATCACTGTTTTTTCCAGATCTTTCTCTTGATCCAGTCCACAACAACATCTTTATCGTATTGTTCTTGACCCTTCTCTTCAACATCCTCCACTGCAACAACACTTTGTAGTTTATGATCTCTTAACAACAATCCAAAACAAATCAACAAAACACAAAAGCATGTACCAACAGTACACAATATCTTTTGGATATGTCTATAAGCATGAACAACAGCTTGTCTTTCAGCTGTTTCCCAAGTGTAAGTTGCGATGAATTTAAATGGAGATCCATAAGCTAGTGCAATTAATGTACTATCATCCAATCTTTTGGCCAACTCTTTTGGTAAAATATTAGTCCATAAAGCCCCTGAAACTGCAGAACCAATACTGGTACCAATACTATAAGAAGCTAAATATGTTGCTAGGACACCAGCCATATGTTGATGATTAACACAAGTTTGAATAGAACATTGAGCTAGATAAGTGGTAAACCCAGCTGCAAGACCTAATAAACATAAGGATCCAATAATACCTGAATGACTTGCAGCATCACCACCTCTGAAATGAATTAATAATCCCATAGCTAATAACCACATAGAAGTACCAAACACAATCAAGGCTTTCAATTTTCTAATTTTGGTTATGGTTAAACCGACACATAGACCAACAATGACACTAACGAATGAATATAATTGAGTAATTCTTGTAGCACTTTTAACAGATTCATTATTTGCAACAACTAGAACAGTATACATGTAATCACCTTGTTGATACCATATGAAATTGATTAAAATAGCAATTGCTAAAGCTGCATAGATCCCACGATCTTTGAATAAATAGCCAGGAATGATTGGAACTCTTGAATATTTGGATTCCCATAATATAAACAAAGGTAACGCAACACACCATCCTAAAACTTCAGGAACTATGATTTTTGCGTGTTTCCATTCAGATTTCAATCCACCACCTAAAGTGAATGGGACTAAGATTAAACCAAATACTAAAACAACTAAAACCAAACCAATTATATCTAAATCCCAAAAAAATGTTTCAACCATGAAATCTTTCCATCCAAGTTTTTGTAATTGAGTTTGACTTTGTTCTTTAATCCTATCCAAATCACCATTTTTCTTAGCTAACCATCTCATATGTAACATACACAACACTAATGGAATACAACTTAATGGTAAAATAAAAGCCCACATCCCAATTCCAAATTTCCAATTCAAACCACCAACTGCAGTTTGAACATTACCTGAAACCCAAGTATTAATAATAAAAGGACTAGCAACAACAAAACTAGCCAACACTCTCCAATTCAAATTTGAAAAATCTGAACTAATAACTTCCAAAATTAATGATAATGAAGTTAGACCTAATGAATAAAAAACTGCACCTGCTGCAAATTTTTGAACATTTGTAGCTTGAGATTCAATAACTGTACCAACAACATAAAAAACAACAGTGAATATGATCATGACTAATCTACCAAAGACATCACTAACTCTTGCAAATGCTAATTGACCAGCTGCTGCAATGACTGCTTGGATACAATTAACTGTTGATAATAATGAATGTGTCTTGTATGAAGACTGAGCATATGCTAAATTAACTGAACGAACTGAGCTATCCAACCCATAACAGTATGCTATTAAAAAAATTGAGAAATATACAAGGGCTTTGTATATAGGATGTTGATAATGTTTGGCATATGCTTCAATTTTTAAAACACCAGCTGTCTTTTGAGTTGTCTTGGATTCATGAGATGCTGGTAATATTGTGTTTTCTTTGTCATTACTAATATCATCATTAGTTACACTTGGATATTTCAAATCTTCATCAGACATTTTGATCAAGCTGATTGATGAAACTGATAAATCTGATCAAATCCAAAAAAAATGAAAATTTTTGCCAAAACTAACGGTTTTTATATCTGTACATGGTACTCTTAAAAAAAGATGGAAAATCCTCCATACATGCTGGTAAAGTTTAAAAATGATCTTGGTTGTTGCATCAGTTCAATCATCTTTGCATAAAGTATGCCCCATCTCGAATATGATTGACTGGATTGATATGCAAGTAAAAAGCCCATCGGCCATCTTGTGTTGAACTGAACTACTTTCCCAAGTAAAATTGGGCATGGTTGCAAGTAATCATAAGGTTGTTATAAACTGGGGTGTTTTTTAACTTTCTTTTCAAGAGATTGATCAGCCTATTTTGGTTCAACTGTTATTGGTTGCATTTTGCTTTTTTGGTCTCTAGGCACTGGGCATTCATAAGAAAACGCCTTTAAATTTCTCTTTAAGCTTAAGCAAAAGGAAACTCGTACATCTTTGGTACCCTGTTATACAAGTTAGTACATGATTGTTGAATTACTTCTTGTGTTTTTGTTTCCATATGCTGCTTTCAATCGGCACCAACAGCGAATGGAAGCCTGTTCACTACTTCTCAGTAGATTAAAGGACATCACCTTTAACAACTTGTTCAGTTCTGTGCGAGGCTGTTCTCGTGTATTTGAGGAATCAGGACCCCTACAGACGTTGAACAAACGGCGGTCTTTTCCAAATTTTTTTTTCACTCCGACATCCTTACTGTGAATGTTCGGCTATTTAAAATCTTTAGAAGGAGCCGTTATTTGAACCAGTTGGTATTGACATAAAGCTATGAGTAATACACAGCAAGTCATTACACAAACTCAACGATTTTTTAGAGATTTATCCGTTTTATATAGCTCTTTTAAGCTCTAACCTATACTTGACGATTTTGTAGTGGCTTGCATGGTAAGGGCACACTGGACAAACTTTTCCCTACACCTAAATCCCAATTTTACACAAAATTACAGCAATATTAGGAGTCTATTTTAATTTTATTTGAAAAGTATTATTTGAATCTTTCCTACTCAATTAATTTTAGTATCATATTTTTAGGTAATTATCTTAATCCAAATATATGAATATAAGCAAATATTTGCCTCTCAAATCCAAATGATTAGTCAGCCTACATACAATTCAGTGGCTGTATTATGTCAGCCGCCCTCTGACCCTTTTGAACTTCAAAAAGTCAGAGGGCGGCGGTTTTTCTAATTTTTGTCAAAGGGCGGTTTTTGTTTTTTGAAATTCGATCAAAAAGAGGTCAGAGGGCGGTTTTTCAAATATCTAGCATACTACTTACTCATTTGTTTGATTATAAGCTCCATCCATGAAACTAAAGACAACTGCTTATTTTCATTAGTGATATTGAGAGTGCTTTTCTCCACTAACAATTTCACAATCATGTCAGTTAGAATTGATGTGATCAATATATGGTTGTTGTTTTTTGAATATAACTGAAAACCAACACAACGACAAGCAACTTGCTTTTTGTTTGTGATCTGAGCTTCATTTTATAACCGTTAATCACTAAAGTGAGAAATTGCGACCGTTCACGTTTATTTATCTACATTGATTTCACAATTCAGTGCATTTTGAAACCAATAAATGGTTAACGGTTAATGGTAACTGCTTAGTCTGAATCAGACAATTCACTTCTGTACAATTCCCTCTGATACTGATTCGCCTCTCATTGTTTTAAAGTAGAAGACTGTCATATTTATCGATATGCTTATTACAAGTTTGATTGTTTTCGTTTTGATGTTCTTTTGTATCAGTCCAAATTCGTAAACGCCTATGCCAATTGGCGCGCTTATCTGCATAATTTTGCGAAATCAAGATTGAAATGTATATCAACTGGCCTCAAAGCAATTCTTCAGAACTTTCTTGAAACTTTATGATCTATTGAATTGAATTTTAAGAAGTCACTGATGTCACAAACGTTACAAAGAAAACTTGATTCACATTATGGTATCAAATTTGCATGTATTAAATTTGCAACCTCGCGACTTTCACAACGCGCAAAATTATGCCAATTCGCGAAATACATTTCCTAAATGAGTTCGAAAGAGATTATTTTACTGATATATGAACACAGAGTCAAAAGTTTGAATTAACAAAGAATATGGATTGATTCAACTTCTATTCCCTTTTGCTTTGACCTCAATTTCAATTCATTCAAATAAAAATCTCGTGGTTCAATCTATTTTCTGTAATTACCTGATCTGGACATTTTTATTTTTTCAGTTGTTTTTTTTTTTCTCTGTCCAGGAAAAAGCTGATTTTTTTATAAACGAGAATTGAATGAAAACGACAACAACTTCTTTCCACAACTTGAATCATTAAGCTATTATTTAAACATTCGCTATAAAGACTAGTTAAAATGGGAAAGTTATTACAATTTGCATTACATCCTTTGGAATTCAAAGCTGCACTTCAATTGTACGTACTTGATAAACCATATACATTCTCGTATAAAATTTATACTAACCCATAATTGTTTTATAGGAAATTCTTTAGACAAAATCCAAATTCAAGATCTCCCGAATCTGAAAACCCAGAATTATCAAGATGTTGGTATTTATTGAAACAAACTTCTCGTTCATTTGCTGCAGTTATTGAAGAATTACATCCAGAATTAAGAAACGCTATAATGTTATTTTACTTAATTTTGAGAGCTTTAGATACTGTTGAAGATGATATGACAATTGATAAAGATATTAAGATCCCTTTATTACGTGATTTCCATAATAAATTATTGACTACTGATTTTACATTCAATGGGAATGGACCAAATGAAAAAGATCGTATTGTTTTAGTTGAATTTGATCAAATTTTATTTGAATATTCAAAATTGAAAAGTGAATATCAGGATGTTATTAAGGATATTACTAAACAAATGGGTAATGGTATGGCTGATTACATAGAAAATGAAGATTTTAACAAGAATGGTTTACAAACTATTAAAGATTATGATTTATATTGTTATTATGTTGCAGGTTTAGTTGGTGATGGATTAACAAGATTAATTGTTTTAGCCAACTTTGGTGATTCAAAATTAAATAAAGATAGACAACACTTGATAGGTATGGGTTTATTTTTACAAAAAACAAATATCATTAGAGATTATGAAGAAGATCAAAGAGATGGTCGTTCATTCTGGCCAAAGGAAATTTGGTCAAATTATACAAATGATTTATCAAGTTTCTTAAAACCTGAAAACCATCAACAAGGATTATATTGTATTTCAGAATTAGTTGCAAATGCTTTAGAACATGTTATTGATGTTTTACAATATTTATCATTATTAGAAGAACAATCAAGTTTCAATTTCTGTGCAATTCCTCAAGTTATGGCAATTGCTACATTGGAATTAGTATATCAAAATCCTGAAGTATTTGTTAAAAATGTTAAAATCAGAAAAGGTACTACATGTAATTTAATTTTGAATTCAAGAAGATTTATTGATGTTGTTGGAATTTTCAGAACTTATATAAGAAAAATTCATCATAAATCTACACCAAATGATCCAAATTATTTAAGAATAGGTACATTATGTGGTAAAATTGAACAATTTATTGAAAGCATGTACCCAAGTCATATTCCAAAAGGTGTTGTTTTGAAACAAACTGAAATTACCAAGCAAATCTCCAAGAGAAGTAAATTAGATGAGGAAATAACTCCAGCTATCAAAGCTGAATATTTCAAGACTAATTTGGTCCTTAGTGTTTTGGGTTTATCATTTGTTTTGTTAGTTTCAAGATTATTTTAAATACGTATGAAATAATGTATGGAGAGAAAAAGTCATAGTGGAATTTCCATGGAACAATTGAGATCATGTAGATTGGGTTGAATTAGATTACATCAACATTAAGGAACACCGGGTGTGATAAGAGTGTGTCTTAGTTCCCTTGCTACCCTAAAAGCCATGATGCACTTAATACCAAAAGCAAATAACCGGGTACAAATTGTATTGATGGATTTTCCTGTCAAAACTGACACGGTCCAAAGTTCCCGATATGGCAGTTAAGGCCAAACTATTGTTCTATTTCAAATCCGAAGCATTAAGCTATACAACAATAATTCTTTTCCAACCGAATTCCGCTAGCGTTTGAACGTGGTTATCGATTATGTTTTGTCCTTTTGAAGCAACTAATTTCAATTGCCGGAGTGCTCTCGAATTGTGTGTTTAATCCGTACCAGCTCAATTGTGTCCAGGTACCATTGACCGTTAATTGGCTAAACGTTGATCAAGGCCTTTGCCAGTGGTTTTAATGGTTTATTTGTACCGAACAATACTATTGGAATTAGCCATTGTACTACAAATGCAAAGCTTCCTTTTACAACAATTCAGAATCATATAAATACACACAAGAATCAGTTTCAATTGGAATGTCATCTTTTAAGTAGTCAATAATCAAACTCATAACCAAAAATTCTGTTTTTCGCGACTGAAAAAAACAAACAATGTCAATCATCAACAATAACAGTACTGATGAACAAACCGTTCAGGATTTCCATCCTCCAGATGCTGTTTCAAGACCTCAAGTTGCTGGAGATGATGCTTCAGAATATGAGGAGATTGCAAGAATTGTAACAAATTCTCAAAATCAAGAGAACGGTGGAGTTTTGCAAAAACTGGAAACATTATCTAAACATTTATCCAAAAGAACCGCTGAACCATTTAAAGTTGACCCTGATGATTTTGATTTCAAAACTATTTTGGGTCATTTTTTGAAATCCGCTGATGAACAAGGAATCCATCTTAGATCCACTGGTGTTGTTATGAAAGATGTTACAACCACGGGTATTGACGCTTCTTCAAGCTTTGCTCCTACTGTTAAAGATTTGGCATTGGGGCCATTAACTTTACTTAGACAATTTAAAGAATCAAGAAATGTTAAGCATAGAAAATTGATTAAAAATGTCTCTGGTGTGGTTAAACCTGGTGAAATGTGTTTGGTCTTGGGTAGACCAGGTGCTGGTTGTTCAACTCTTTTGAAAACAATTGCTGCTGAACATGATCAATTTGTTAGTGTTGATGGTGATATTCATTATGATCATATCCCTCAACATGAAATGGCCAAGAAATATAAAAGTGATATCATTTACAATGGTGAATTGGATATTCATTTCCCTCATTTAACTGTGGATAAGACTCTTAAATTTGCAATAGCTTGTAAAACTCCTCATACAAGAATCAACAATGAATCAAGACAACAATACATCACTGCTACTAGAGATATATTGGCAACTATTTTTGGTTTAAGACATACTTATAACACAAAAGTTGGTAATGATTTTGTTAGAGGTGTTTCTGGTGGTGAACGTAAAAGAGTTTCAATTGCTGAAGCATTAGCTTCGAAAGCTACTGTCTATTGTTGGGACAGTGCTACAAGAGGGTTAGATGCTTCAACTGCTTTAGAATATGCTCAAGCTATTAGAACTTCAACAAATCTTTCAAAATCGGTCGCTTTCATCACTATTTATCAAGCTGGTGAAAATATTTATGAAACTTTTGATAAAGTCACTATTCTATATGATGGTCGTCAAATTTATTTTGGTCCAACTGAAGAAGCTAAAGGTTATTTTGAAAGAATGGGGTTCCAATGTCCACCACGTCAAGCTACTGCTGAATTCTTAACTGCAATCACTGATCCACTAGGAAGATTCCCAAAATCTGGTATGGAGGATAAAGTTCCAAGAACTGCTGATGATTTTGAAGCTTATTGGCATAATTCAGATGAATACAAATTAATGGTACAAGAGATTGATCAATATGAATCAATCACTGATGCTGGTAAAACTAGAGAAACTTATGATAAATCATTATCTCAAGAAAAACCAAAAGTTCATTATCGTTATACAATTACATACCCTTCTCAATTGAAATTATTAACCAAAAGAGGGTTTCAAAGGATTTATGGTGATAAAGCTTATACCGTGACACAAGTTAGTGCTGCTACTATCCAAGCTTTAATTACTGGTTCTTTATATTGGAATACTTTACCAACTACTCAGGGGGCATTTTCAAGATCTGGTACAATTTATTTCATGGTTTTATATTTTTCATTAATGGGTCTTGCTGAAGTTTCTGGTCAATTTGCTGATCGTCCAATATTGTTGAAGCAAAAATCTTACTCATTTTATCACCCTTCAGCTGAAACATTAGCTGGTACTATAACAAAATTCCCATTCAAATTATTATCAGTCACAGTTTTCTACATCTTGATTTATTTCTTGTCAAATTTAACTCGTGATGCTGGGAAATTTTTCCTAACTTATTTGTTCCTTATCTTGTGTTCAGAAACTATTACCGCTCTGTTTCAAATGATTGCTGCACTATCACAAAACGTTGCAGGTGCAAATGCTATTGCTGGTATTTTGATGTTGGCACTTTCCTTATACTCTTGCTATATGATTCAATTGAATTCTATGCGTCCTTGGTTTAAATGGATATCATATATTAATCCAATTAGATATGGGTTTGAAAATATGTTGAGTGATGAATTTCATGGTAGAAGATTATCATGTGGTGGTTCTTTAGTTCCAAGTGGTGCAGGCTATGAACATGTTAGTAGTGCGAATCAAGTCTGTGCATTTGCCGGTTCTGTTACTGGTCAAACTTGGGTTGATGGTGACCGTTATTTACGTGTGCAATACAGCTTCAAATATTCACATCTTTGGAGAAATTTTGGTATCATTATTGCATTTTTTGTGGTTTTCTTAGCTGTTAATGCCGTTTGTACTGAGTTCAAGAGACCAATGAAAGGCGGTGGTGATCATTTATATTTCAAACGTGGTGGTAAACCTTCAGATCGAATTGTCATGTCTAATGAATCTAAACAATCTGATATTGAAACTGGTAACAAAGATCAATCTGTTCAAGATAATAAATCAAGTCTAGACGATTCTGTTGAAAATGAAGCATTTGAAGGTCTTGGTTCAAAATCTGTCTTTGCATGGCAAAATGTTGATTATGTTATTCCATATAAAGGTGGTTCAAGAAAGTTGTTGGATAATGTTCAAGGATACGTTAAGCCTGGTACTTTAACTGCTTTAATGGGTGAGTCTGGTGCTGGTAAAACTACATTGTTAAACACTTTAGCTCAACGTATTGATATGGGTACAGTTACTGGTTCTATGTTAGTTAATGGGAAACCATTAGACACTTCATTCAAAAGATCAACAGGTTATGTTCAACAACAAGATTTACACATTTCAGAATTAACAGTTAGAGAATCATTACAATTTGCAGCTAGGTTACGTCGTCCAAAATCTGTTCCAGATTCTGAAAAATTGGATTATGTTGAAAAAATTATCAAGATTTTACAAATGGAACCATATTCTGAAGCTATAGTTGGTGTCTTGGGTAGTGGATTAAACGTTGAACAACGTAAGAAATTATCAATTGGTGTTGAATTAGTTGCTAAACCATCATTGTTGTTGTTTTTGGATGAACCAACTTCTGGTCTAGATTCTCAAAGTGCATGGGCTATTATTCATTTATTAAGAAAATTGGCACAAGCTGGTCAATCAATTTTGTGTACTATTCATCAACCATCAGCTACCTTGTTTGAAGCATTTGATAGATTGTTGCTATTGAGAAAAGGTGGACAGACTGTTTATTTTGGTAATATTGGTAAGAATTCATCAACTTTATTGAACTATTTTGAAAGAAATGGTGCTAGACATTGTGAAAAATCTGAAAATCCAGCAGAATATATTTTAGAAGCTATTGGTGCTGGTGCTACGGCAAATATTAATCAAAATTGGCATGACATTTGGAGCAATTCTCAAGAATTTGCTGATACTACTAAAGAAATTGAAATTTTGATGAACCAAGCTAATGAAAAATTGGGTGATGATGATCAATCTTCAAATAAAGAATTACAGAAAACTTATGCATTACCATATCTTGATCAATTGTTTTATGTTACTAGACGTACTGGTACTCAATTCTATAGAGATCCTCAATATATTGGCTCTAAATTTGCTTTGATGATTTTGGGTGGGTTATTTGTTGGTTTCACATTTTGGAGTTTAAGTGATACAGTTATTGGTATGCAGAATGGGATGTTTGTTGTTTTCAATGCAATTATTATTTCAGCACCAGCTATTAATCAAATCCAAGAAAGAGCTGTTGCATCAAGAGAATTATTTGAAGTTAGAGAATCCAAATCAAATACTTTCCATTGGTCAACTTTATTAATCTCTCAGTTTTTGAATGAAATGCCATATCATTTAGTTTCTGGTGCTATGTTCTTCTGTTGTTTATATTTCCCATTAAGAGCTAATGATGCTCCTGATAGAGCTGCTGTGTTTTACTTGAATTATGCTATCATTTACCAATTTTATTATGTTTCATTGGGATTGCTTATCGTTTATATGGCCCCTGATTTAGCTTCTTCTACTGTTATTACTGGGTTGTGTTTTTCATTTATGATTTCATTTTGTGGTGTTGTTCAACCAGTTGATTTAATGCCAGGGTTTTGGACATTTATGTGGAAAGTTTCACCATTAACTTATGTTGTTCAAACTTTGGTTGCACTAGTTTTACATGAAAAGAAAGTTGAATGTTCCCATGAGGAATATAATTTCTTTGAACCTCCATCAGGATTAACTTGTCAAGAATTTGCTGGTACTTATGTTACTGATAATAGTGGCTATTTATTGAATCCAAATGCTACTTCAAATTGTGGGTACTGTGAATATAGAGTTGGTGATGAGTATATGAGCACAGTTAGTGTCAAATATAGTTATAGATGGAGGAATTTTGGATTTATGTGGGTCTATATCATTTTCAATATTGTTGCAATGTGTGCTCTTTATTATATCTTCCGTGTTGCTAATGTTAGTCCTTTAGGTTATTTGAAAGGAAAACTTGATGCTTTCAAGCAGAAAAGAGACCAAAAGAAGGAAGCAAATCAATAATTTGGGAAAACACCGACCGTTGCCATAGGAACGAGAAAGTTTTTTTGTGATTGTGTATAGATCACATCAGGTTGTATTTAATTTATATTTGTGAATTCTAAATGATTTAGATTTTTGTTATTGTTTTGTTGTAGTTTGTTTCATGATCTACATCTTCTTTGATCAGATTTCTTTATATCAACGTCTTGAACAGTGTCAGTTTAAAGTTTGTGTAGCCGTTGGTGCAGTTTTTTATGGCAGAATTTTAGCACTTTATGAATCCCAGCAAAACGTTCAAATTCCAAGGGTTTTCGTAGCAATCTCGTGAGAACCTGAGCTTGAAATAAAGAACCTGGTGATTTAACATATACAACTATTCACTAGTAAACTACATCTCACCCTCTAGTTCTTTTTAACACCGTCTCGGATTAACTTGACCGATCGACAGAGATTTTAGTCTCAGCAGTTGCACCAGTTGATTTCTAGGTTTTTCCGAAGGTCTATGGGATTATGGCATATGGCAATATTACTGGCTGGTTGGGCCCCATCGCTTCTAATCTATGACCAAACCTCACAGCAACCTGCTTTAGACCCATCTCAAAGCCATTTGAATTTCAAACACCGGATGCCTATGACATCAATTTCAAAAAACACAACTTTAATCAGTTGGTTCCAAGGGACTACGCTGGTGGAAACCAAAACAAGTTTAGTAGAAGATAAAGAGCACTATATGGTATCAATATAATATCAGCATCTATCTGCTATTTCTTCCTCTCGTTGCTTTTTTAAATGACCGTTTCGAAGCTTAAAGTAGAATTTCCAAAATTCGCGGCTCTTTTCTGTGTGCTTTTTTAGGGTCTGTAAGTACCAACAACCAGGATAGGTAACAGCAATAATGAAAATTTTTCAAACCTGAGATTATAAAGATCTAGTACACACGGTAACAATACTCGGTTCCTAGTCTTGAAATGAACTGATTAGTGGGGTGTTGTTGGCACACCTTCTGGAGACTAATTTTGAAAAGAGAAACGAGCTGAGATTCGATGTTGATACAAATGCTATAAAAACTTTTGAAAGTCCAAATATTTGACCATGGGTCCTTTATGTTTTTAGATCTAATAAAAATTTTGTAATAATGGCTATTTTCAAAAGAAAACATTCATTCAGTCATAATGAAGAATATGACATGGATTATACAAAACCAACAAATGAACAAAATGAATTATTAAACAATAATTCTGAATCTTCAGGTTTAAATAACAAGATTGATGATGGTGATTCGAGTAATGACGATACTATTGGTAATCAATCTTTATGGCAGTTGAAAAGTGTTATAATACTTTGTGTGGCAAATACATTCACAGGTTTCCTTTTCGGTTGGGATACTGGTACTATTGGTGGTATCACAAATATGACTGGGTTCAAAAGACATTTTGCACCTCAACAGAGTGATGGTAGTTATCAGTTCTCTACTATAACTCAAGGTTTAATTGTCTCTTTATTCAACGTTGGTTGTGCTGTGGGGAGTACATTTATATCGAAACTTGGTGATTATAAAGGTAGAAGATTTGCTATTTTCATAAGTTTGATTATTTATATCATTGGATTAGTCGTTCAAATGTCAAGTGTTTCATCTGCTAAATGGTATCAGTTAATGGTTGGTAGAATCATCACAGGTTTAGCTGTTGGTGCCACTTCTGTCCTTACTCCAATGTTTATTAGTGAAAGTGCACCTTTGAAAATCAGGGGTGCCATGGTTTGTGTTTATCAATTGATGAATACTTTGGGAATTTTGTTTGGTAATGTTACTGATTATGGTTGTAAAACATACCATCCAGATACAAATGCTGAATGGTTAATTCCAATTGGGTTAGGTTACGTTTGGGCTGCCTTGGCTTTGTTAGGTTTATTCTTTATGCCTGAGACTCCATTCTTTTTAGCTTTCAAAAATGATAGAGAAGGTGCTATTAAATCAGTTGCCAAATTGAATAAATTACCACCAGATTCACCATTGGTTCATAATGAAGTTGAAAAATTCATGGCTCGTTCAGAAAAGATGAAGGAAGAAACTGAAAGTGTTAAATGGACTGAATTCATCACAGGTAGTCCAATGTTGGGTTTTAGATTAGCTATTGGTATGTTCATCATGGCTATGCAACAATTAACTGGTGCAAATTATTTCTTTTATTATGGTACTACATTGTTCAAGTCTGTTGGTTTAAAAGATACTTATATCACTTCAATCATTTTGGCTACTGTCAATTGTGCACCAACTTTTTTCAGTTCATACCTTGTTGAAAGATTTGGTAGAAAACAATGTTTAATGGTTGGTAGTGTTTGGATGTGTATGTGTATGTACATCTATGCTTCAGTTGGTGGGTTTGGTCTTTATGGTAGTAATGGTGAAGCAAATTATTCAGCTGGTTGTGCAATGATTGTCTTTTCATGTTTCTTTATTGTTGGTTTCGCTACAACTTGGGGTCCAGTTGCTTATGTTTTAGTTAGTGAATTGTATCCAATTAGAGTTCGTGCGACATCAATGTCTATTGCTACTGCTATGAATTGGATTTGGAATTTCTTAATTTCATTATTTACTCCATTGATTACAAAAGCTATTGATTTCAAGTTTGGTTATGTGTTTGCAGGTTGTTTAACTGCTGCTATCTTTTTGGTCTATTTGTTTGTCCCTGAGACTAAAGGTTTAACAAGTCAACAGATTGATGAGATTTATGAAGATGGTCATATCTTCCATTTGAAGAAACATAAGAAACCAGAAGATGAAGAAAATACTGAATGATTGAAATGAAATACATATTTATAAACATACGTCTGCATCATGATTATTATATAGAAGGGAAAAAATGAAAGGTCTTGAGGATTGATTATTTTACATGATTAGAAAACATACAATACAGGAAAATAAAAAAATATATGGGTTTGTTATAGAATATTGGAGTTGTGGATTGTATAATGATCATCATAAGCTTAAGTTGAACCCAATCTCGCCGATAATTCTTATTTCATGATCTCGTTACACCTTTAATCTTGGAATCACTATCACCTTTTGACTTATAAAACGCATTCGCGAACTGAAACGAAGATGGTGTCACGTCAAACAGCAACGCAAAAAAGAAAAAAAGCAGACAACTCATTCGTCAATTACAGAGGGCAATTTGAACTTTTTGCTTGATCCAATCAGATTGAAATGCTGTCATTCATTAAAATCGTGCAGCTGAACCCCAGACACTTACGCCTTGGATGCTTTTCCCCAGTTTAAATGGCATATAAAACATAAATATTTTTGTCATATTGGCCCAATCAGGTATAGTCAAAGCAAGTAAGCTCATATGGAATAAGCACTACATCCTTTTCTTTTCTAGAAATGTGCAATTGGTAGATCTTCAGTTGAGAGAATTGTGTTGTGGTGAAGGAAAAAGTTTAAAGTTATGGTGGGTATTAATTACAACCACGAGAAAGCTGATCATATGGTTCTGAAATATGGTGCCAAGCAAGCGGGTTCTTGATGATAGAGAGATTTTCCATAGTTCATGGCTAATCTATTGCTTCTAATTTTAAAGCTAAAGTTAATTAAGGCAAATTATAAAAATGATTGAATTTGCTCTTCCAAATTGATGGTTTTCCTCTGATCAAGAGTATCAATTAAATGTTTCTATAATGCAAAAGTTATTCAACAGGAAGTCCAAGTATCAAAATAACAACATTGATGAATACTCATCAAAGCCAACAGACCATCAAAACGATGTATTGCATCGTACAAACACCTCTTCGGGTACAAACACTATGAATGATGATAACGATGCTGCAACTGAAGAAGCAATCGAAAGCCAATCATTATGGAAATTGAAAGGTGTCATATTACTATGTGTTGCCAATACTTTTACTGGGTTCCTATTTGGTTGGGATACGGGTACAATTGGTGGTATTACCAACATGAGTGGGTTTAGAAGACATTTCGCACCTTATAAGAATGGTGAATATCAATTTTCTCAGTTTATTGTTGGGTTGATTGTTTCAGTTTTCAACGTTGGTTGTGCCCTGGGTAGTACATTTATTTCAAAGACTGGTGATTGGAAAGGTAGAAAATTTGGAATTTTCATTAGTATAATCATTTACATCATTGGTGTGATTGTTCAATTAACTAGTGTTTCTTCAGCAAAATGGTATCAGTTATTAGTTGGTAGAATCATTACAGGTTTAGCTGTTGGTGCTACTTCTGTCCTTACACCAATGTTTATTAGTGAAAGTTCACCAATCAAGATTAGAGGTGCAATGGTTTGTGTTTATCAATTGATGATTACGTTAGGGATCTTGTTTGGTAACGTTACAAATTATGGATGTAAAGAGTATCATCCAGATTCAAATGCGCAATGGTTAATTCCAATTGGATTAGGGTTTGTATGGGCTGCATTGGCATTAACCGGGTTGTTCTTTATGCCAGAATCTCCATTTTATTTGGTTTATAAAAATGATCGAGAAGGTGCTATTAGATCAGTTGCAAGATTAAATCAATTACCACCAGATTCTCCATTGGTGCATAATGAAGTTGACAAGTTTATGGAGAAATCTGAGCAAATGAAGGCTGAAACTGGTCAAACTACATGGACTGAGTTTATTACAGGTAGTCCAATGTTGGGGTTCAGATTAGGTATTGGTATGTTTATTATGGCCATGCAACAATTGACTGGTGCCAATTATTTCTTTTATTATGGTACGACGTTATTTAATTCAGTTGGATTGGATGATTCTTATGTTACTTCGATTATTTTAGCCACTGTTAATTGTGTTCCTACATTCTTCAGTGTTTATTTAGTGGAAAGATTTGGTAGAAAGTCATGCTTGATGGTTGGAAGTGTTGGTATGTGTGCATGTATGTTGATTTATGCTTCAGTTGGTGGGTTTGGTTTATATGACAGTAATGGTGAGGCTAGATACTCTTCAGGTGTTGCCATGATTGTCTTTTCGTGTTTTTTCATTGTTGGTTTTGCAACAACTTGGGGTCCAGTTGCTTTTGTGCTGGTTAGTGAATTATACCCAGTTAGAGTTCGTGCAATTTCAATGTCTGTTGCAACTGCTATGAATTGGATTTGGAACTTCTTGATTTCATTATTTACTCCATTTATCACTGATGCTATAGATTTCAAATTTGGTTATGTATTTGCTGGATGTTTATTTGTTGCAATCCTTATGGTTTACTTATTTGTTCCAGAAACTAAAGGGTTAACCAATTCGCAAATTGATGATATTTACAGAGAGGGACATGTCTTCAATTTCAAGAGACATCGTAAACCTGATTTAGAAAAGTCGAGTGATGTTGACTATACAGATTAAACCACTTAAAGCGTATTTCACTAATAAAAATGATTTTAGATGTTGATAAAATGTAGAAGCCGATAAACCCCGAAGCGTTTCGCGAATGCGTTTTGTTTCGCGAAAGGTGCCACCCAAAAACTGAACACGTAAAACCAAATCGAATCTAATCAAAGCAACATCTCCATTATTCTTTTTAACCGATTCAAAGAAAGATGAAGTTCACATCAATTGCTCTGCTAGGTCTTGCTGGTATTTCTGCTGCCTCAAATGTCATTGTCGCTAATAACAAAAACTTTGATGATATTGTTTACAAATCAGGTAAGAACTCATTAGTGGAATTTTATGCATCATGGTGTGGACATTGTAAGAATTTAGCACCAGTTTATGATGAATTATCAGATGTTTATTCAAAGACCAAAGATGTTCAAATTGTAAAGATTGAATGTGATGAAAATAGAGCAACTTGTCAACAATTTGGTATTAAAGGATTCCCAACTTTGAAATTTTTCAAAAAAGGTGTTGATACCCCTGTTGAATATGAAGGTGGCCGTGATTTAGATTCTTTTATCAAATTCATTGGTGAGAATACTGATTCTTATGTTTACATTCCAAAAGTCCAATCAAATATTGTTCAAGTTTCTGATTTGGATTTTGATAAAACTTTATTAGAAAGTGGAAAGAACGTTTTCGTTGTATTTACAGCATCATGGTGTGGTCATTGTAAAAATTTACATCCAACTTGGGAAAAATTGGCAGATTTGTTTGCAAATGATAAAGATGTTATCATTGCAGAAGTTTCTACCACTGATTCACCTGCTGAAGAATTACAAGAAAGATATGGTATAAGTGGATTCCCAACTATTTTAACATTTGAAGCCAATTCTAAAAATCATATTCCTTTTGACTCTTCAAGAAATTTAGAAGGTTTAGTTGATTGGGTTAATAAACATACTGGAATTCATAGAAGTGTTGATGGTGGATTATTACCAAATGCTGGACGTATTGAAGAATTGGATTCTCAAATTACACAATTGATTAAAAGTGCACCAACTAAGGCAAATGAATTAGCCACTGATATTTTAAGTTCAATTAAAGATGGTGAAAGTAAATCAAGTGATTATTATAGAAAATTATTAAATAAGATCATTAATGGTGAAGAATCATTTTTCGATAAAGAAATTAAAAGAATTTCTAAAATTTTATCAAATAGTAAAAATTTATCAAAAGATAAGATTGATAATTTACAACAAAGATTAAACATTTTACAAGTTTTCCAAAAATAAATGAATAAATAAGTTAGGTAAAATTATAACTAGTAGTATAAATTACCATTCAACACTTTTCGTCTTTTGAACAACTCTTACTAAATCACCCCAAACTTTACCTCCACCAAGCACAGTTTCATCAATGATTGGCTTTGCATTTGCAGGATTACATCTAGCCAACCATATAATTTCACCAGTTTTCATATAAATAATAACATTAGCTGCAAACTTATGACCCCCAACATGATTTATAAAAGAAACATTAATACCATTTGGACGATCATCACACACATCTCTATATAGTTCCAAATCTCTTAGGTGAGCATCCATTTCTTTCTTCATTAAAGGTGCAGTGATCCCACATCTTTTATCTCTTGTTCTATGAGAACACAAGAATATGAAAGCTTGCTCAATAGCTGGGAATAATCTATAGTTATCAATTTTTTTAGGTAATTCTGAACCTTCATCTCTTAATTTGATTAATAATGGGATCAGTTTATTCAATACTTGATCAACATTTTGATATTCAATTTTTCTTAACCATACGAAAAAGGGTAAGATCAAGACATCATTAACTTCACTTTTGTAACATCTTGGATCAACACTATCAAAAGGCAATGAAGATGTAGATACTTTGAAATTACCATCTTTAATAATATCATCCCCGTATTTATCCTTCCATGCCACAATTGCATTTTCCACAGTGTTTGGAGTTGAAGTGGCATCGTGAGCCCAGTCTGTCTTGGAGGTTGGTATTATGAAGTGTACATCTGTTGGTTTGGCAGAGTTGTAAATGTCTGAATCTTCATCAATCTTTAAACCTGAAGGGAACTTTGTTGGACATGATTCGCATTCAGCATTACATGATGATAAAGGAAGGATTGATGAGATTTCTTGATCTCTTTTGTCTGTGTTGTTCTTGCCAAAGAACTTGGATAGTCCTAGCATGGTGATTGGTTTCTTGGGAATACAAAACCGAATGAAATGATTCTGGATCTCTGTTGTTTTTAAATCAACTTTTGATTTTTTTGGTTATGGCTTTTGCCCATCGTAAATTTTTTTTGTCAAAAACGAATTTAACCGGCGATAACGGCGCTTATCCCCGTTAAAACTTGACTTTTCTTTGGCGAGAAATTTGATTAATCTTTTTATTATTCAGTTTGAAGATGGTGGAAATGGTTTTTGAATTGGTGGAAGTTGAGAGTGTATTTCTCAGGACTAAAACTCAGCAAAGATGAATCAGAAGAGAGCAGGCAGTTGATAATCAATTAGCTAATAGCTAATCAGAAATTTAGTACAGAAGGTTATACGTTGAGGATAGAGTTTGGATTGGATTCAAATGTTCAGAAAATAATAACAAAAGGCTTCATTCAAAGCTTTAAGCGACAAAGAATACCTGGACAATTCGCGAAGGTAATATTCCAAACCAACTTCACCAGTTTGATGCCGTGTAAAAACAATCCTTTAATAAACCCAATTGTGGCGTACTATGTAGCCATCAAAAGCCATATTAATATTCAGCAACGTATGGGTGGATTGGAGACTATATAAACATGATGATGGTTTCTTGATAGCACATGAAGAGTGATGTGTCAATACAATGTGAATCATGTCCAGTTCAATAGAAGACCATGAGAAAAGTGCAGGAACTTTTAAAGTCCAATCTGATCATGATGATATTGATGTTCAAAGCTTCAATGAAGTGGAAGAGGCCAAACTAAAGAAAATAATGAGCTCAAGACACTTATTCATGATCTCAATAGGTTCAGCAGTAGGTATGGGTTTATGGTTAGGTGTAGGTGGTTCTCTACACAAAGGTGGTCCCGTTGGTGTCTTCATTGGGTATTTGATATCAGGCTCGATAGCATGGTCATTGAATATGTCCATTGGTGAAATCGCTACTCTATATCCTGTTTCTTCTGCTTTCCCAAGATGGTCTGCCCAGTTTATTGATCCAAGTATTGCTGTGACTGTTGGTTGGATGCATTGGTGGGGGAATATGATTGGTGCTTCTAATGAATTGGTTGGGATTGCGACTGTGATGAAGTTTTGGGTTCCAGATGTGAATCCAGGTGTTTGGATAACAGTAGCATTTGTGTGTCTTGTATTGATCCATGCTTTTGCTATAAGATTATTTGCAGAAGTGGAAAGTTTAATGTCTGGTGTGAAGTTTCTTTGGGTTATTGTCGCTATTGTAACTATGATTGTTATTAGTGCTGGTGGTGCACCTCAAGGACAAGCCATAGGGTTCCAATATTGGAAATCTGTACCTTTTAATGGTCATGGATTCAAAGGATTCCTAACAGTTTTACCATCATGTGTCTTTGCAATGGCTGGTATTGAAATCATTGGATTAGTCGCAGCTGAATGTAAATCTCCAAGGAAATCTGTCCCCAAGGCTGTTAAATCAATTTGGATTCGTATTGGGTTATTTTATATCTTGGGTTCATTTGTTGTTACAATTGTTTTAGATCCAAATAATTCTCAACTGTTAGGTGGTTCAGGTGTTAATGCCTCACCTTTTGTCATTGCTGCTCAAAATTCAGGCCTACCAAGATTTGCAGATGCAATGAATGCAATTATATTGATTTCAGTTTTCAGTTCAGGTAGTGCAACTTTTTATGGATGTCCAAGAATTTTATTAGGTTTGGTTCATTTGAAAATGGCTCCTAAAATCCTGGGTAAAGTTGATAAATCTGGTAGACCCTGGGTTGGATATATCTTTACCGGTATATTATCTGGTGGATTAGCCTACATTAATCTAAATCATTCTGGTTCAACAGTCTTTGGTTGGTTTTCAAACCTTTGTTCATTAGTTGCATTGTTATTATGGAGTATTATTTTTATCGTAAACATCAGATTGAGAAAAGCTTGGGTTCTCCAAGGTAGAAGCTTGAATGATTTGCCCTGGAAATGTAAATCAGTTCCATACACTGCTTGGTATGGGTTATTTTGGTCAATTTTAATTGTTATTATTGAATTTTATTTAGCTGTTTGGCCATGGAAGGATAAATCATCTGCTAAAAATTTCTTTGCAAATTATGTTTCAATTGTTTTAATGGTTTTCATTTACTCTATTGCCAAAATATTCTTTTTTAAAGGTCCTTTGTTAATACCATTAGAACAAATTGATTTAGATAAAGGTCGTGCTATTTATGATGATGATTATATGGCAAATGAAGGTGAAGATTTGGGTGTGTTTAGAGGAGCCATTTATGATCTGAGACATGCATTTGATAAAAACAAATAGATCAGATCAAAAGATAAGAAACTTCAGTTTATGAGCATGTTTGGTCACGTGATATGAATTTGAAATACTCTAGAGAAGGGAGATTTCAATGTAAATACTTGCAAATTTATGTGCTTCTATTTAAACAATACTATATAAATGCTTTCAAGACACAACAGTCACTTTAAACCCACTTTTTTCCTTTGTTCCAATCTCAACTGACCTTAAACTGACTGAATCTTGATCCTTTTCTGAATCCAATTTGAAAAAATCCTCTATAATTGTGACATTATTCTTTGTAACTTCAATTTTATAGAGGGCTCTTTTCCTATTTTGGTACCTATCAAATAAAACCGTTAAAGGAACATAGAGTAATAAGATTGAATTCAATCCCAGACACCATCTATAAGCTTTGTAATATCTAGGTGCGAAATCCGTATTGAATAGCTTCACACTCCATGGAATTTGTAACAAAGAGCTAAACAAATTCATAACACTGATTGTAGCAAATCTTAATTGAACATCTTCATGTGTTAATCTACTTAACCAACCCATCCATAATGGTGAAAAAGGTGTGGAAACACCTAATAAGATTAATCCAAAAAATAATGCACCTTTTGAAACTTCCCATCCAACAAGTATACCTAATCCTGTTAGCCATAAAATCATCACAACTAATAAGCTATGCCATCTTGTGGCTGTTATATCAACAACTAGTCCTGATATTAAGCATGTGATAATTCTAAATACTGTTTGGATTGTTGGTATTGTGTTTAGTTGATAAACCGAATATCCACCTAGCCCTTTCATTATTATGGCGAAATAACTTCCACCTTGACCTGATAAATCCCAAAGAACAAAAGCTGATGGGAAAACATAAAATTGCCATGATGACAAGATTCTCTTTATAGAATTCCAATCCCATTTATCTGAAGGTGGTTTCCCACGGAACTTCATTCTTTCATTAGCTAATTCAAGTTCTTCTTTTTTCAACCACCAAACTTTTTTAGCATTTCTTGGGATTAATACGAAAAATCCTAAAATTGCAATTGGTATTGTTACTGAAAAATCAACAATGAATAACCATCTCCAACCTTCTATCCCATTAACTCCATTCAAATTTTTATAAACTGCAGCTTGGAAATATCCACTAAACATCGAACCAACCATTCCTGAAGAGGTGAAAATACCAGCTCTCCGAGCCAACTCATTTCGATTATAATAAGAACCAAGAATTTGATAAATTGCTGGATAAGAACAACCTTCAAATAAGCCTTGGAAGAATCTCATTATAGCAACATATCTAAAACTATTTGACTTGTATAATGCAAGACAGAAAACTCCCCAGATTACTTCACAACCAGGCAAGATAATATTTGGAGAGATTCTAGTCATTAATAAACTGATCAATCCACCAAACCCAAACCCGATCGTGAAACAATTTTGAATCCAATTATATTGAGCACCGTGTAGGTGTAAGTCTTCCTTCATTCCTGAAACATAAGCAGAACTAATATTTGATTGATCTAAATATTTTGACCAATATGATAAGCAAACATAAGAAAGGATAAAACAATCAAGTTTGAAAACAACAGTTTTCTCCTTCTTTGATTGATTTGGAGGATACCACCAAAAAAACTGTGGGTTTGGTTCTTTTGGAGGTGGTTCTCTTGAAAAGAATAAGTTTAATTTCTCCTTGAATGAAAGATTGGGAAAGATGATTTCTGTCTTTGTTGTACCATTATCTTCTAGTTTTGAAGACTCGATATCTGAGGTCATGATCAAAAAGTATTATGGCTTCAGAACTTTTATAAAGGTAATGTTCGAGGAGATTTTTCCACCTTATATGGCTGTAAGCTATTGTTCATGATAAGTTGATCCACATTAACATTGTCCCAATGGAGTAAACTTAGCGGGTGCAGGCGTATCTCATGATGGTTATATTGTGGATAGGAAGCAGCCATTGTGTACCTATCTACTTGTGAAGCAAGTCACTAACCAAGATCTGCCCACATTAACGTATTTGATCTTTTATCAGATAAGTTGAGCATTTGATGCAGTCCCTTAAAAATAGCTTATCTACGTGAGCTAGTGACCCGTTGTGTATGGCAGCTCATACCATACAGCCAGTGAACATTTGTATATAGAGATCAATATCAGCTTCAAACTAGAAGAGAATAATACTTTAGTTGAATTTTGTAGTATGAGCTTGGTTAGCTGGTTATCTGATCCAAATCAAAATTGATATTAACGTCAGTTGGCCAGCTAAGGAAACTAGAACTAGATGATATCACTAAAAACATATAGTAATATTGGCTTGCAGTTTATCTCTTTATACCGTAAAATTAATATAGATCAGTCATATATAAACTGAACTGTCAGTACCAGAGATAATTTTGTACATGAATATTCATTTTAAATATTTACCATTAATTTATAAATTAACACACATTGGATACGTCATAATTAATTAAATTAACTTAGCTCATGATCCTAGAAAAATAAAAATATAAATATGTTAATATAAAAACAGCTAAATATTATTAATTCAATATATTTCTAATATAATACTGCTATACTGATCTACATTACTGCTATAAACCAGTGTTCACTGTTTTCTGAACTGACAGATTCACGTGTCAACAGCACCATGCTTTCCCTTACATAATCATGCGTCGCGTACCGGCTTTTGGTTTTTTTCGTCGCGGTTAAAAAAAGCGTAACAAAAAAATGTAAAACATCAAAATACAAAAACAGCCTTTAAACAACCAAGGGCTAAACAGTTCAGTGGCAAAACATTTCACTTACAAAACTGGTGACACCGTTGGAATAGCACAAGAGAACACAGCGCCTGCCTTTCCCTTCCCAAGACCATGAGCAGATCCCACGCAGAGCCTCTGCTGACTCCCTATCGCGCTCCTCCTGTTGGACGCGACCTGTATAATAACGGTGACTCCAAAAGATTCAAACCAAGTCCTCCTGTCCAAGAACAGCCGTTCATTGATCTTACAAACGATAGTGATGATTTCGAAGAGATCCTCAGTGACACAGATGATAGTTCTGATGAAGGTGATGTGATGATTACTGGTGTTCGTGACCTATCAAGATCAAATACAACTGAGAATGTTAAATCTGCTTTAGATCAAAAATTCAAACCAAAAGCTGAGAACAATCGTCTTCAATCGTTAAATGTTCCAGAATCTATTACAAAGAATGCTACTTTACCAAAACCACTAGAAAATGGACCCCCATCATTATTACCAAATACACCAAGCGCGTCTGCAAATCTAAACTCAACAAGCAACCATATTCAACCTCAAACTACAGAGCAGAACTTAAACAATACTCCATTAACAAGTAAAGCAGTTAAAGTGAATGGTATTGTTTATAGAAGTGAAGCTGATGTTAATAATAAGGAAAAGATGTTGAAAAATGCTGTTACACTTGCTAAGAAGAAATTGAGTGATTTTGAACAAGATTCAAAGAAACATACTGAATTGCTAACTCGTATTTTATCATCAATTGATAGATTGAAAGCACTGAAAGTTTCTGAAACAACTCCTGAATATAGAGATTTGGTTAGTTCTAAAAATGCATTGATGTCAAAAGCTAAAGAAGATGCAAAATCGAAAACAATCTATGATGCTAGAGTTAAATCTTCAACAACCGAATTATTAGGTTTCATTAATCATGCAAGACCAAAAATTTTATCAACTTTGAATAGTTTACGTCTTCAAGAGGCTCGTGAACAAGAGGAAAAACGCCGCAGATTAGAGATGCAAAGGCATCAAGAACAACAACGTTTACTGGCCCGTCAACAACAGCAACAACAACAACAAAGACAACCAAATAGTCTGCTTGATAATATACGTGCAAACATTTTTGGTGATATGCTACAAAATTTGAATCCAAATCGTCCTATGATGGGTGATGATGAAGAAGATAGTGAAGAAGAAATTTACAATATGCTGAATAGAAGAAATTACATCAATGATAATCAAGAATCCCAACATGGAATGAATGTTTATAATTCAGGTACAACTGAAGATTTAAGATCTTTTCTTGAAAGTATTAAAACTATTGAAGATTCCATTGAAGGTGAATCTAATACACCAGAGGATTTAACTGTTAATCTATTAAAACATCAAAGACTGGGTCTTCATTGGTTAGAGTTAAATGAAAATGATGAAAAGAAAAAAGGTGGTATTTTGGCTGATGCTATGGGTCTTGGTAAAACTGTCCAAGCTATTTCATTAATGTTATCACGTCGTTCTAAAGATGATGATTTGAAAACAAATCTTATTGTTTGTCCAGTTGCAATGATGAGACAATGGGAAAGTGAAATAGAAACCAAGGTTAAAGAATCTGCTGATATGAAAGTTTTCCTTTATACAAGTACAAATGGTAAGGCAAGATTACAAACCTTCAAACAATTGGCAAAATTCGATGTTGTTATTGTTTCTTTTCAAACTTTAGCATCAGAAATGAAAAAACATATTCATGGTTATGATTTAGGTGAGATGGGTATTAGAAGAATTAATGAATTGAAAGCTAGAAATTCTCATATTTCACCATTTTTCGCTAAAGAATCAAAATTTTATAGAACTATTCTTGATGAAGCTCATTTTATTAAGAATAAACTTACAAAAGCTTCATTAGCTTGTCATATACTTGAGAGTGAATATCGTTGGTGTCTTTCAGGTACTCCAATGCAAAATAATATTGACGAGATTTTCCCACTTATCAGATTTTTAAGAATTAAACCTTATTGCTTTGAAGATAAATTTAGAACTGATATTTCCATACCATTAAAACCCAAAAATGAAAACTATGATGAAATGGATAGACAAAAAGCAATGCAAAGGGTTAGAATTATGTTGAAAGCATTATTATTGAAAAGATCTAAAGATAGTAAAATTGATGGTGAACCAATTTTAAAATTACCAGAAAAAAGTGTTGTTGTGGAAGATGTTATAATGGAACCTACAGATCCAGAAAATATTTTCTATAGACATCTCGAAGGTAAATCTGCTATTCAAGTTGAAAAAATGTTGCAAAAAGGTTTAGCAAAAGGTAATTATTCTTCAATTTTAACACTATTACTTCGTTTAAGACAAGCTTGTTTACATAGTGAATTGGTTAGAATTGGTGAAAGAAAACAAGGTTTTACATTTGATGGTGATGGTAATTTAAGGAAAAAGGCAACATGGGACTCGATGTATCAATTTGCCTCAGATTTGAAACCAGAAGTTGTTAGAAGAATTAATTCAGCTGAGGCTCAACAAGGTGGTGGTGGTGGTGGTGATGATTCATCAGATAAATTCACATGTCCAATTTGTATTGATTCAATTACTGATCAAGATTGGTGTATTTTTTACCCATGTGGTCATGGATTATGTACTGAATGTGTTGATAATTTTTTTGAAACTTTCCAAGAGGGTGAATCAAATAATGGGATAAGAGTTGCTAAATGTACACAATGTCGTTTACAAGTTAAAGAAACTCATATGATTACATATCCAATTTTTGATAATGTTTGCAATAAAAAATTATCTAAAGCAGCTGTTGGATTATTATATGAAAAAAACACTAAAGAATTGGCCAAGATTAATAAAGAAATTGATTCTGAATTAGTTGGATTAAAATTATCACCAAAATTGGAGAGAGCTTTAGAATTAATTAAAAAAATTCAATCAAATGATAGTTCAGAAAAAATCATTTTATTTTCACAATTCACTACATTATTTGATGTTTTCCAAAAATTTTTAAATAAGGAAAATATTGAATCATTAAGATATGATGGTTCAATGACATCAGATGCAAGAAATGATGTTATTAAAGAATTTTATAAAAATTCTTCCAAGAATTTATTATTAATTTCATTAAAAGCTGGTAATGTTGGGTTGACATTAACATGTGCTAATCATGTTATAATAATGGATCCATTTTGGAATCCATATGTTGAAGAACAAGCACAAGATAGAGCACATAGAATTGGACAACAAAAACCAGTTACAATTTATAGATTATTAGTTGGTGGTACTGTTGAGGATCGTATTATGGAATTACAACGGAAAAAGAAAGAATTAGTGGAAAGTGCACTAGATGAAAAAGGTATCAAGAGTGTTGGAGGATTAGGACGTAATGAAATTGAATTTTTATTTAATCTACGTGCACGTCCAGAATGAAGAAGATGATTGTGATGCTAGATTATTATTTTTTGGGAATAGGGATGGTTATGAATAAAGTTGTAATTTTAATAGTTTATGTTTTTGTATTTGTATTTGAATTTTGTATTGAACGTGGCTTTTTATTTCCCGATTGGGAAGTCTAGCCTGAAAAATTTCATAATCAGCAAGAGAAAAAAAAAAAGGTTTTGGAAATTGAAATCAACAAAGGAGAGAAAACCAACGAAGAGACATTATTATAAACGAGATAAAGAGATAAAGAAAGACAGAACAAAATGAGTGGTGAATCAATGTATGTGATTGGATTATTTAAAGAGTCTCATATGACTAACTAATTTTCCACCAGTTTATTTATCTTTTCAGTCATTATAAATGCAATCAATTTATTTTTCCAAGTTTATTTTACAATTATGTATTCAGACTTAGAATGTGATTATATTAATCCAGTTGAATTATGTAACAAGTTGAATATTTTCATTATTCCAGAAGCTTCAATTCATGGATTTTTAACATTATTATTTTTAATTAATGGATATTGGTTTACATTTTTAGTTAATTTACCATTATTTGCATTTAATGTTAATAAAATTTTGAATAAAAATTATTTATTAGATGCCACTGAAATTTTCAGAACTTTGTCAAAGCATAAAAGGGAAAGTTTTATTAAATTAGGGTTTTATTTGTTTTTGTTTTTCTTCTATTTATATAGAATGATTGTTGCTTTGATTTCTGAAGATTAAGGAAGCAAATAGGATCAATTGAGAGACAAGAGGAAGACCATAGAAGGAGAGAGTGAAGAAGTTGAGAGATTGAAAGAGAGAGGAAGAGAGGCAGAAAGAGAGGAAGAGAGAGTGTATGTGAAAGAGAGAAGCATTTGTATAATACATCAACGAAATCATATTGAGTTTTTTTAAAACCATTGTATATCATTATAATCATTAAAAAGGTTCACTTCATATCAATCCAATTCATGAAATTTTGAATTGATTTCTTTTAATTTATCAAGTATCCCCCAATTTGGATCAACTATGTTATTTAATTTGTTTAATTTCATCAATATTGAATCATTATTATCTGATGATGATTTTGATAAATTATTCAATTTCCCAATTATTTGTTTTTTAGTTTTAATCAATTGATGAACTTTATTATATTGATTTCTTAAATTTTCTAATTTTACTAAATTTTCATTAATTTCTTGTCTTTTATCAAATAATTCATTTCTAAGATCCAGTTTTGTTGATTTTAAATCCTTTAATTTATATAAATAATGATTATTTGTTAGATTCAAATCCAAGATCTTGTTTAAATGTAATTTATTTAATTTTTGGAAAATTTGGGAATGTTTACCATCTTCATGAGTTAAGGCATCATTTAAACTTTGTAAAATGATATCAATTGAAGTTAGTCTTATACTTGAAGTTGGTAATCTTGATATTTTAACCTCCATTGTGCCATTAACGTATAAATCATCGAGTTCGATATCTGATTCTTCTTGAGCATTATCGAAATCTTGATCTTGATCATCATCTAGGTCGTTATCTAGGTCATTATCTGGTTGAGGTTCAACTTTCTTTCGTTTTGATTTTGGTTTTGTCTTTGTCTTTGTCTTTGGCTTTACTTCAACCTTCCTTGGCTTCACTTTCTTTGGCTTTGCCTTTGGTTTCTTCACTCTTGGTTCATATTCTTCATTAATCTTATCCTTTGGTGTTCTAGGAGGCCTAGTATTTCTTGATATTGGAGAATGCAATTGAGACAATTCATCAGTGATTAAAGCACCACTGTCTTGAGAAACAGGTATCCATTTGGGAGTGTTTGGTCTAGATTTTCTACTTCTCTTTGGAGTCTTTATGACAATGTCATTTGTGGCCAATTGACGTGAACTAATGATAAAATACGCGTTAGTTAACCAATTTAATCATAACAAATTCACAAACATACGCAGCACCTCTTTTCCGTGCTTCTCTCTTCTCTATTCTCTCCATAATAACCTCCCTAAATTAATTAAATACAAAATCACCTTTCTCAATCTTTTCAAACGCGTTATTGTTTTTGTTTTATTATTCCTGTTTTAAGAAACTCCAACCACAATTTTTTTTTTCTTTCCTTATCAAAAACCAATTTAAACCAGACAAATTCTACAAATTAAATAAAACTAGTTGAGGTTAAATCAAACTAAATCAAAATCATTCACTATGGCCAAGCTCAATTATTCCAGAAAAAACATATCAATTGCCAGTTTAGCAGCGTTGGCTGTTGTCGGTGGTGCTTATTTAATACTAAAGACTTTTCCTCATTTGACTGAGTCACAAGAACCAAAAAAAACTATTAATTTTGAAGAATTAAGTGAAGAAGAATTGAAATCGTGGTTAAGTGAAAGAAAAGTTTCTGTTCCTGAGGATTCCACTAAAGAAAGTTTGGTTTCGTTGGCTAAATCGCTATGAAATAAAATGGACAATGTGAAAATAATTAATATGATGAATATTCTAGTTTATTCTATGTAGATAATCTATTGTTATATTTAGCTATAGCATTTTGGAATATCTGCTTTGTTAGGCCTCTATCTTCATCAAAGATATGAGCAAATTGAACTCCCAAAGTCTCAACATCTTTATTTCTTAATTCATCATCAAATAATATAACATGCTTTAATTCAATTTCTTGATCTAATGAACTCATTGCAGATTTAATATGATTTTTCTTTGAAAAAGTACCAAATTCCAGGGCATCAAAATGGTTTATAGCTGGTTCACCGTTTAAATGAAGACTTTTCAACATTTTTCTAGCAAGGGCTAATATAGTCAGTATACTATTAGGAGATGACTTATTGAATACATACCTGGTGCTGAAGTTCTACTTGCAGCCACTATGTAAACGTTATTCTCTTTCAACTCTTTGAATATCTCTTCAACGTCTTTATAAAAAGAGATTTGAAATCCATATCTGTTGATGTTAATATAAAGCCTAATCATATAATCCATGTTCCATCCCACTCACTTGTCCACTAAAGTCTTTGTGCTTTTAGCTTTGATTGGAGGCGATATATGAGTATCACACCAGCACTTTTGGATATAGTTAGCCACTTTAATGTTAATCAAGATATAAATCTTTTATACTCACAGCTATAACCATTATTAGTTTGATCCATAGAAATGACTCTATTTGTACATACGCCAGAGGGTATAGTCCAGATCAAACACCACTACTTTTGGGTACTGAGTCATTGTTTTAATCAATATAAATAAAATAAATTCATCAAATTCATTAAATAAACCAAATTTAACCAATTTCTTTATTATATCATCACCGTCACCAGCCACACTCATTTTCACTTGTGGCTAGTGCTTACATAAGATTACTCTTACCCACGTGACCCAAATGTGGCTGGTGCTTTTTTCCTTGTCGTCGACGAAATTCAAAAATTCAACAAATTCAATTAAAACCAATTTCTATTCAATTCAGTTCAATTCAATTCAATTCACCCAAAAATGGTCTACTCTGCCAGACAAATCGGAGCCAAAAACACCTTGGACTACAAGGTCTACGTCGAACAAGACGGTAAGCCAATCTCCCCATTCCACGACATCCCATTATACGCTGATGAATCCAAAAAAATCTTGAACTTTGTTGTCGAAATCCCAAGATGGTCAAATGCTAAATTGGAAATCTCCAAGGAACAAACTTTGAATCCAATCATTCAAGATACCAAAAAGGGTAAATTAAGATTTGTTAGAAATGTCTTCCCTCATCATGGTTATATTCATAATTATGGTGCTTTCCCTCAAACTTGGGAAGATCCAAATCAAACCCATCCTGAAACTAAGGCAAAAGGTGATAATGATCCTTTAGATGTTTGTGAAATCGGTGAAGCCGTTGGTTATACCGGTCAAGTCAAACAAGTTAAAGTCCTTGGTGTCATGGCTTTATTGGATGAAGGTGAAACTGATTGGAAAGTTATTGTTATTGATATCAATGATCCTTTAGCTCCAAAATTAAATGATATCGAAGATGTTGAACGTCATTTACCAGGTTTACTAAGAGCCACTAATGAATGGTTCAGAGTTTATAAAATCCCTGATGGAAAACCTGAAAATCAATTTGCATTCTCTGGTGAAGCTAAAAATAAAAAATATGCTGAAGAAGTTATTAGAGAATGTGCTGAAGCTTGGGAAAAATTAATCAAAGGTGAAACTCAACCTGGTGATATCTCTTTAACTTCAACTGTCTTGAAAGATGTCCCATCATTTGATGAATCTGCTGCTTCTAAAGTTCCTGTTGGTTCTCAAGATTTAAAAGATGCTCCAATTGATAAATCAATTGATAAATGGTTCTTCATCTCTGGTGCTTCTGCTTAACTACAGGGTCATTTATAAATAAATAAATGAATTTTTGTTTCATCTTATTGTAATGCATTCTTTACAAACTCTTTAATCTTTACATAATCTTTAACACCATTAGTTTCAACACCTCCAGAAACATCAACTCCAATAACACCATCCAATTTAATAGCTTCATGAACATTATCAGGTGTTAACCCACCAGCTAATAAATATCTAGCATTGTTCTTTGCAGACCAATCACTCAAGTTGGACCAATTTAATTTCACACCTTCACCACCAGCTTCACTATCAAACAATGGTAATAAATGTTTATTTGGTTTTAAACTTTGTAAAACTTTTGTTTCATTTGGTACGAATCTCGTTATCACTGGTTTTTTCAATTGTGGAATATATTCATCATGAGATTCTTGTCCATGTAATTGAACAAAATCAATATCAACTTCTTCAATTATATTATTAATCTCCTCTATACTTTGATTTCTGAAAACTCCCACACTATAAGGTCCATTAGATTTAATAGAATCATGAACTTGTTCAAACCATAAACTATCTTGACCTGGCTTTAATGAATCATATAGTTCATTAGAATTTAAACCTTTCCTTTTTGATTCAACTAATGATACAACTTCTTTAGCATTTGATACTTGAATAGTTCTTGGTTTACCAGGCACGAAAATCATTCCAATCATGTCTGCACCTGATTCTAGTGCAACTTGAGCTGCCTCGACATCTTTAACTCCACAAATCTTGACTAGCATCTTGTAATATTTTCCCAATTATTTCATGTTTTATTTCAAATTTAAAATGAGTATTAAATCAGAAAATTGATTTTTAAAATCTTGATTACTTAATCTGCCATTTCATATCGTGTCTATAAACACGATAAAAAAATGTTCAGAAAAGTTCAAGTTTAAATCAATTTCAAGACTTTATTAAAGACCATAAAAATGTCTATTGAATTGGAAAGAAACACATTGGAGGAACTCCATACTATAGAGAAAGCCATCACTGATAGAATACAGAGAAATCCAGAGCTTTATGATGGGTTTTTAGAGGATAATAATAGGGTTTTAAATAAGAAAAAAAAACGTTCATTTAGAGAAGTATTATTACAACAACATGAAATATCTTTCTTTTTGAAACAATACAAGAAACAGAAAACTTTCTTAGAAGAATCTTGGAATGATGCTTCAAGAAATGAAGTTTTGAAAACAATTGATGATCCAACTTATGAATTGATTAAGTTTGATGAATTGTATCAATCTATTAAATCTCAAAATGATGAAACTGTTGTTAAGAATCTTGGTTCAATATATGCCATGAAATCATCAAATTCAAATATCCTAAGTGAAATAGGTTCAGGGATTGATTTAAATTTAATGTTTTCCGGTGAAGAATATTTTGGGAAATATTTAGATTTAGTGGAATTTCATGAAATTTGGTTAAATTTATCAAGTTTAAAAATTAGTTATGTTAAATATTTGGAAATTTTTGATAAATTTGAAGAATTTAATGATATTGTTAATAAAAAACAAGATGATTATTTGAAATATTTAATTAATTTATCAAATTATTTGAAGAATTTCATAACAAAATCAACTCCATTATTTAAATTAGATTCATTTTTAAATCAATTTGAAGAAAATTTCAATAAATCAAAACAAAATCAAGGATTATATTGTGAAGCTTGTGATAAAAATTTTGCTAAAAAAACTGTTTATGATGCTCATCTTTCAGGTAAAAAGCATTTAAAAAATGCATCAAAATTAACAACATCATCACCACCTCCATCATCTAAAAATTATGAATATTATGAAAATCTAATCGAACATTTATTAACCCCATTAAGAACAAAACGTCAAGATACAAAATTAAACACAGAAAGAAGAAAAGCATTAACAGAACGTGAAAGATTAATTGAAATTTCTCAATTAGAAAAAGATGAACAATTATCATCAAGTGAAGATGAGTCAACTAACGAACAAGATGAAAACCCAGATTTTAAAGATGGTGTTTATAACCCAATGAATTTACCTTTAGGTTTTGATGGACAACCAATTCCATATTGGTTATGGAAATTACATGGATTAGGAATAGAATATACTTGTGAAATCTGTGGTGATTATACATATAAGGGGAGAAAGGCATTTGATAAACATTTCTTAGAGCCAAGACATATTCATGGATTGAAATGTTTAGGTATAACACCTTCGTTAGTTTTCAAAGATATAACTAGTATTAAGCAAGCTATTGAATTATGGAATAAAGTTAAAAGACAAAAAAGAATAGAGGAAGGAGAAAAAGAAGATGCAGTAGAAGTGGAGGATGAAGAAGGGAATGTTATGAGTGAGAAAGTTTATAATGATTTGAAGAAACAGGGATTAATTTAGGAATAAAAAGTATTTAGATTTGTGGTATTGTAGGTTAATGGCCCTGGTTTTGTGATTTCGCGAAATTTCAAATTTAAAGAAATGAACTTGAGCCATAAATGAATTGAGCTTAATATAATTAACTAATCAATTATGTCAATTCCTTTATTCTTATTCACGTTCAATTGTGCTAAATTACCACAAACAGACTTTTCAAAGCTTCAAGATGCTCTACCATCAGACCATATCCCTGAACTTTTCGTATTTGGTTTCCAAGAATTAGTTCCAATATTAGATTCCACAATCCCTAAAGAAGTTAATCAAAGACTATTTGAAATCAATGATTCGATTCATGATGTCCTCTCCTCTAAATATCCAGATTCTAGTTCAATCCATACAATAAATATTCATCATCTTGGAGCTATTGGTTTAATAATAATGACCCCTTTCCAAAGTTCTATTAAAAAAATTGATAATACAGTTGCTAGTTGTGGATTATTTTATTCAAGTTTAAAAGGTGCGGTGGCTACAAGATTAACACTGGTTAAAGATTCACAAGAAACTGAATTCACATTTGTTGTTGCACATTTAAGTGCTAATGAAGGTTATGTTGAAAGAAGAAATAGAGATAGTTGGAGATTATTAAGATCTTTGAGTTTCAATGATGGTTGGAGTGTTTTGAAACCTAAAAATCATTGTTTTTTCATGGGTGATTTGAATTATAGAGTTGCCTTATATGGAGATGAACTGAAGAGACAAATTGATGAATCGAAAGTTTTCATAGGGTTTAATGAACAAGATATTCATTTTGATCCAACTTATAAGTTTAATGTTGGTACATCAAGTTATAACTCTAAAAGAATTGCCTCATGGTGTGATAGAATCCTGTATCAAAAATATAATGGGAATGAGAAATTAATAAGGTATGATAAGTTACCATTTCTGTCTTCTGATCATCAACCTGTTTTTTTATCAATATTGGTTCCTTTCCAAGCACCTCCAAATGCTGTTAATTCTCTAGGTTATTTGATTGAAGGTGGAGAATTTATGAAATCAACATATGCTAGTAAATTTGGGAACTATGCTTTAATCGTTTCAGATTCTATTATTGGATTATCATTGAAAAGTATAACTACAACAAGTGGAAGAATTGTATTGATAGTGATGTTTTTATTTATTTTATGGTTATTTAAATGAGTTTAGTATGATGTAATATATGAATAATGTGAGATTATGATTTAAACTACATGTAAAAACTGGATGGTTTATAAGTTTACTATTGAAGTTATACTTCCGAGCATTAATATAAGTCACGTGACATAAAATATACCCTCGTAATTAATTTCAGCCTCCCACGCTTTTTTCCTTTTCGGTGACCCCCACTGTATGGATACGGATATCCACGGACTAAAAGATTAACATAATAGACATCTTCAGCCGTTTCAAAATTTGAATCACTTTGAAATAAAAGAAAAGAGCACTATCCTTTATAACCCAATCCGAGAGAATTACAACAGAATACACCCAAAACATGCTAACAATTGGCATCAATTCAACTATTCTTTTTCTTTATACCTAAAATTCCATGGACCTTTGTGCTCCGCATCAACCGTTTGCAGAATGTTCTTAAATCCATTGAGGGACCTTATCCAATATGATTCAATCTTGAATCAACGTACTCTATGACTAGTGTCAAGTGACTACAAATAATCAATTCATATTCATCAAAGACGTGTACTATTACATTAAATTATTCTGTATACAAGAAAGGGGGAATATTTAGGGATATAAAATGAGTGAATGACTTGTTTATAATTCTTTGAAAGCATCTCTACCGAAGAATGAAATCTTTAACCAATCAGCAACAACTTTAAATCTTGATCTAACAGATAAAATCATTGAAACATATAAAACTCTCCAGACAAAGAAAGTGAAAATACCACCACCAGAATAGAATGAACGAGAACCATAAGTAATGTTTGCAATAGCTCTTTCAGCACCTAAATAAGCTAAAGCACCTAAATGAATATATTTAAATGGTTTAATACCATTTTCTTGGAATAATAAATCAACTTTTTCAGTAGTTGTTGCTAATTTTTCATGGAAATTTGGAATCTTGGAAATTTTTGTGAAAACTTTACATAAATATTCAGCTTCTTGATGAGCAACTTGAGCAGTTGGTGGTAATTTAGCAAAAGCATTATCACCAATGGCAAAGATGTTGTTTGTACCTTTAACTAATAAATGTTCATCAACGATTAAACCTCTTGTAGCATGGTTTTGTTCAGGGATTTTTTTATATAAATTGGTAACTAAAGATCTTGGTTTATTACCAGTGGCCCAAACTAAAACACCATATGGGATTGTAGTTTCATCAATTGAACCATCTTCATTCTTGGTTTTAGCAACAAGGAATTTATCTTCAACTTTTGAAACGGCAGTTCTGGTTTTCAAATCAATTGTAGTTTCTTTTAAAACTTTTTCAGCATATGAAGTTAATTTTTTTTCAAACATATTCAAAACAACAGGTAAGGCTTCGATCAAGACGATTTGCACTTCATCAACGATATTTGGCATAAAAGTTTTCAAATCTTGATCAATATAATCTTGTAATTCACCAGCAGTTTCCACACCAGTTGGACCACCACCAACAACAACCAAAGTTAATAATCTTTTTCTTTCAGGATCATCTTTTGGTAATAAATTGGCTCTTTCCACAGCTTCAATGAATCTATGTCTAATTTTTCTTGAATCTGAAATTTCTTTAAGGAAACAACCATGTTCTTCAACACCTGGAATACCAAAAGTGTTTGGTTCAGCACCAACAGCAGTGACTAAATAATCATAAGAGATTTGAGCAATTTCATTAGCTTTTAAACCAACGTTGATACCAACACCATCAGCAGAGGTAACAGTGGTGTTTATATTTGAAAATGATTTAATTGTAACAGTTTTATCATTTGGATTAATATCAGTAGCTTCAGCTTCATAATAAGTAACATCACCTTTCTTCTTGTTGGCGAATGAAACAACAGGTTCCATGATTGATTTTTCATCAACAGTACCAACTGGACATGAAGGTAATAATGGAGTGAAGAGGAAATAATTTCTTGGAGAAATGATTATAACATTATATTTAGTGGAATCAATATGTTTTAAGAATGAAATAGCACCCCAACCTGAACCCAAGATGACGATTGAAGGTCTGTCAGTTTTATTTGAGATTAATTTTGGGGCTTTGTGGAAAGAAGAGGAACCAGAACTAACTTTTGAATCTGATTGATTTAAGGCAGAAGCTGAAACGATTGATGAAGATTGGATTGATCTTATTAAAGTGGAGGATCTAATTAAAGGAGTTCTTAAAGATCTGGTAGATCTGGCCAAGTTCTTGATACGTAACATGATGGAACTTAGTGTTGACACGGATGATATAAGTCAGTAAAAGATTGTAATCAAGTAAAATTGTACTTATATATATTTTTTCCAATTCGGATTGACCTCTTCACGAATTTTAGTTTTTTTCATTGGCTGAAACGCAAAAAAAGGAAAAAAAAACAAAAAAAAACAAAAAAAAGCCTCGAAACTTTATTCGGTCTTCGGAATTTAGATCAAAGGTTTTTTTGTATGGGAGAATTGAGTTTTGTATGGGGGATTTAATGACTGTTGAAGGTTGAATTGGAATTGGAATTGTTGATTGTTGGGGCAGTGGTGGAATGGAATATTGCAGTGGGGAACTATCGATCGGATTCCTTTTAATGAATTTATTTGGTTTCAATTCAATTAATTTCAATCATTTTCTGGTGCTGAGGAATCCGGCACAACGGTATGGATTATTTTATTATGGTGATTAGTCAGGTGTTATGTAATAGTGATTATATAATGTATTATATAATGTATTACATAACTGTTATATTACCTAAGCCATTACTCATCATATTATCTATACTATATCTATCTAACTATCATCCTGGTTATTCTATAAATTACACTGACTATGCCCCCAACTATCAGTATAGAGTATAGTACAACATCCCCGTATGAAGTTATTTGCTTCACTATATCCAAAACTTGGTTCACACGTTCATGATTATCAACATAATCCATAGATACCAATAGGTTCTTCATCATTATATCAGCACTTATTATACCCATTGTTATCAATGTTGATTTAAAGAACCCCATGAATTGATAATTCAAAAGTTTAATCAATATATTGGTTTTAACTGATGTTTTGAAGATCTTGACTCCAATATAACATCTAATTAAAAAATTCAAAAGACAAAAATATGATAGCATTTTACCAATAATCAAGATACATAACCATGATATCTGATAAAACTCTTCAAAATTTATGAATTGGAAAGTTGATGGCCAATCAATATCAAATTTCATTATTGATATCAATGAGAATTGTAAGACAATAAATATAGTGAATGCAAATATAAAGAAGTTTAAAATCTTGTTTTCAATAGTCATTGAATGACGAGTCTCTAGGATTTGATTTGATGCTTGATTAGTCTTAGTTATCAATTTTAATTTATATTTATCCAATTCATGTTTTTTCAATTCCAGGGCATTCAACATTTCAATTTCAGAGTTTCTTCTGAGTATATTCAAAGTTTCGATGTCTAATCCATTCTCATCAACTAGCTGAGATTTCTCATTTAATAACGACATATTTCCAATAAACGTCTCTTTTCAGGATAACTAAACAAGATACAATCCAAGAGCACCATCCTCCTCTTATATACAATCCTCACCAAACAATGTAAAACTCGTTAAAACGCAAAAAACAGACCATGTGCTGCTAAGCGAAGTTATTTATTTTATTTGTTTATTATTTCTGCACGTGGAGGGCCTAGTCTGGGGCCTCGGAGATGGGTGCACTTGCTCACTATGGAAAGAAGTGGGACTAGTCCTAGTAAACAATCTAACCGCCATACATCAAGGGTGCAGTCCTGGACTAGACTCTGCCCATGTGTCAGAGAAATAAACAAATTAAATAAACAAGGATTGAATATCTCGTGAGTAATAGTTGAAAGGTGTATGGATTAAATGGGTAGTCTGATACTAAATTGTATCCAGCTTAAGCTAGTGTCTTGTGGCTCAAGGATTGAGGATTGAGCTGGTATTGCTGTGTACTGGAAATAATAGGCAATAGCCAAAAGCAGCCCTTCGTTATCTATACACAAAACCGTTTTTCAGTCACCAATTCTACCGGTGCTAAGAGTTTTAACTTTCAATCTAGATAAAGTTGGTGTAATATCTCCAAACAATCGGCTTGTACAGCATCACATCCTATAAATGCTGAAGCTTTCGAAGATTCAAACGAACAATTGAGAAGCCTTGATGTCTTAATTCAAGTAGGATACCTGTAACATTATTATTAATACCGAGACATGGTATAATCAACTTTTACGAGCTATGAAATCCCAAATCACATTGAAGTTTACATCTTCATTCTCTGGATAGTCAAGACTCAAGCTCCGTTTTTTGAGATTAAATCAATTTCTTCAATTAATATTGTACAAACTGTACGTTCAAATTAATTATGCTTCAATCTGCATAGTTGTATACCTTATCAGTTTTCGTGTTGATGAAATCCCATTGGAAATACTAACTCTGGTAATACCTCCAAGATACAAACATACAATCCATCACCAGCTTCACCAAGTGTTTAACGTTTATATGAATTACTCTTTTGTAAATAATGGAAAAGTCAGTCAGGACTCAGTATTGTAAGTGAAACCATATTTTCAGAATGTGCGGAGGATATCAGCACTAGACCTAATCATTTTTCATTATTATCAACTGTGTCCATTTATTGAGCCATAAATTATTTTATTGAGCACTTGAGTTGAAGTTCTACTGGTGTCCGCTGTCCAGTCTTTCCATATTGGCTTTAAGTCTTTCCAATGTACTTGTGAAACATGAATCTGAGAAATATGAACAAGATTTTACCGTTTCAGTATCCTCTCTCTTCCTTCCAATGGGAACAACAAATCTCCATTTTTCCAATCGGGATTTCTTTGTTTCCTCGGTGTGTGATTAGGTGTTTGAATTTTTACTTTTATGGCTTCTTCTGTTCACACAATTGTTCATGGTCGCGTATCAAACATCCTGAATTTCAACACTGTGTGTACAACAACCAATTCGCCTTCTCACCAATAAATATTTAAGGCTCTGAAGGCTCCATGAAATCATCAATCTTGTGCAAACTTACTACCTTTGGCTCATGATCAAATAGTTAGTTCACTTGGGCAAGAACTTTTGGTTTGTGTCAATGTATTTGTATTATCACCTATTTGGCGTTTATATCCGCTCTTCACATACGTGAAAGATTGCAAGTCATGCACATCAGGACTATCTTCATCGCCAATAGTCCCGGCAGAATTATTGAATACTGCAAATATAGTTACTTTCGAGCTTTTTACAAACAAACAATTGATTTTCTTGTATACTGTGCTCATCTATTTAACCAAAATCCTAGTTACTCTATAAACTATACTAACTGCTCCACCAATTATCAACATGGAGTATAATACAACATCACCATATAAGCTCACCTGCTTCACTATGTCCAGCACTCGGTTCACATGCTCATGGTTACCAATATAATCCATAGATACCAATATATTCTTCAGAATTATATTAGCACTTACTATACCCATTGTCATCAATGTTGATTTCAAAAACCCCATGAACTGATAATTCAACAGCTTAAACAATATATTTGTTTTAACGAGCCTCCTAAATATCTTTACTCCAATGTAACATCTAACTAAAAAATTTATAAGACAAAAATATGACAACATTTTACCAATCACCAAGATACATAACCATGATATTTGATAAAAGTCTTCAAAGCTTATAAACTGCAAAAGTGATGGCCAGTCAATATCAAGTTTCATTATCAGTATCAATGAAAATTGTAAAACAATAAATATAGTGAATGCAAATATAAAGAAATTCAAAATCCTATTCTCAACAGTCATTGAATGATGATTCTCTAGGATTTGATTTGATGCTTGATTAGTTCTGGTTATTAACTTTAGCTTATACTCATCTAGTTCAGCTTCTCTCAGTTCTAAAGCTTTCAACACTTCAGTTTCAGAGTTTTTTCTGGATGTTAAATCTTCAATATCGACACCATCTTGTTTTTCCTCATTAAAAGACATCTTTCTATAGCAACAATAATAAGTTTAGCAGTCCAACAATAGTCAGCACAACAGCAAGACAATAACATTATCAAACAACATCTTGAAACCAGATTTCCCACTCTTTAAATAATATTGGAAATTTATCAAACAATGTAAAATTCCTCAAAAAAGTTGAAAACACAGTCGCATATGCAAGGCCTAGTCCTGGCTCTTCCAAAGCTTAATCAAAGTATAGGCGAGTCGTGGACTAGTCCTGTTCGCGTAATTTTAACCGCGAAAGGGTCTATCGAGACAAGAGCCAGGCAGCCTTTAATACAATTCACAGAATTACACTGAAATCTACAATTATTAAATTCACAAAAAGTGTTTGACTGTTTGACGTAAGATGAACCGCATCCTGTAATGAGTCTAAAACTTTTCAAACAGCATGGAAACAAGGTCTACACTCCCAATCACTAGACCTTATCCCCAATCCAGTCACCAGCTTGCCTATTTTAGTCTCTGTGTATTGTAATCTTATCCCACAAATGTTCATGGCTGCAGTAAATCTCATCGTATTGAACCGTTATTGGGCTGATTGGCAAAATACTAAACACTCGGGCACTGAGACACTTCTCTCCAAACAAATAACATTACAAAAAACCTTCTCTGATAATCAATAAACTGTAGCAAGGTCTTCTCCGGGATAATCTGGAGTATACCAAGCACTCTTTTCATCAAAGCTATAACTGTATCAAGGTCCAATACGTAGCAAAATCATACTGAGTTGAAGAAACAAGGTACTCTATGCAAGCCCTAGTTTCTCATGACGTATATCCAAACGAACTTGTTAAAACCTAAATCAATTTAGTGGCTTCGAAATTATTTTCAACCATATTCTATTAATAACTCAAATGAAAATTGAAAACAACACTTCATCTCATAACCAAAATATTGTCTCATAAACTTCTTTTTAAAGAGTCAGAGAACTTGACATCACTAGAAGGAGTCAAAACTCAGTTCTCCAGAACTTAATTTTGGCTGGGCTCTCAAAATCTAAATTTTTCACGATTTTTAACATCTGATGGGTAGAGCAAATTTCTCTCGATTCAACCAAATCTTTGATCCAGATACTCCAACGGCCATGTTCAAAATGTTTAATCAGATTATTTAGAATTTTTTTCAACCTGAACACCTCCAACTGATGATCATCAGGATCATTTGATACTTTCTTGAGCTCGAATACAACTCCAAGCCATCAATATGTATCTACTTCTGATAATAATAACAAAATGTATTCATTGATCACCTTGAACAAATTAGAAGAGCTCCAATAGTTCAGATTGACGATTCATACTAAAGCAGTGCCAGAAAATTGTCATTGGTTCTTTCAAAAAGAATATAGCATAATAAAATCATGTTTTTCTTCAAGGTAAAAACGATTATTTGAACCTTCAAATAGATCACTTTGCAGTAAATGTTTCAGTTGCGACCTTAATTCATTGTCTTGCATAATTATCAAGTCCAGGAAAAAGTGAATTGAACTTTTCGCTATTCAAAATTTCTCCTTTCTCAAAGCTCCCTTGAAAAACTTTGATATTTTCGAAACATTCACAAACTCAACCCAAATAGGCAGCAGCCTTTAATTTACAGTCATTTCCACCTTATTCACCGTAACGTATTTCCAACATCTCTTGTACAATGTACCCCTTATCTCTGTATACCTTTCCAGCTTCAAACCACCGCTCATTGGACTTTTGTGTTCTTGAAATTACAAGTAGAAAAAACACCTCCCAGTTTGAAAATATTGTTAAACTTCATCAATTGATAGACATGACCTTTAGGTTAGGAGATTCTAAATGATATACTGCAATTCAACTTATTGATTCTTTGACGAAAAACAATCTCTTCACTTGAAATCTAAACTAGTTAGATTCAAACCAGGATTTAGAGTCCAAAGTTCAAAGTCCAAACATCCCGCTTAACTATCATGTTTTTAAAATCATTCATCTATATTTTCATCTCAAAAGAACACATCACATGGAAGTAATGATTTGAAAACTTATATTTTGGCCCCTATATCCAGCGAATCTTCTGCAAAAGTAACATCGATCAAACACAACTAGCCTATTCTTTTGCACGAGGGAATACATAATTTTACATCAAAATGCATTTCCTTTTCAATTTTCTAGTTTAAAACCCATAAACGATGCTTAGAGGTGCTAGATTCGTAAAGCTCAACTTTTATCAAGCAAACAGCCACTGCATCAAAATTCAATGCCCGGAAATTGTTTGTTAGAACCTAACAGCAAATTATTACCTGATAGAAACCATCACCTAACGATAAAAACCCCCAATATTGTCAACCAAAGTGTAAGGTCATTGCCAAATCCAATAGCATAAGATCCATAGCACTTCCAGTGAGTCAATTAAACGGTTTATAAGTTCTAGTCTCGTTTTGAAGCAGCGGTTTTCACTTTTTTTTTGTCAACTTTTGGCCTTTTTGACCATTCAAAGTATTCATATAACAACCAGCATTTCCAAAAGGCAAAAGATCTAAGCCAGCAACAATATTAAAGCTTCATCCACACAATCCATCACAACAATTGGCCCTCAAATGCCTCAAGATTGGTTTAATAATATTTTTCAAGTAAAACTGTTGACCAAATTATTACCTGATAGAATTCATCACTTCACGATGAAAATACTCCAACATTGCCAGCGCTGGTGTGTGATTATTACCAACTTCAATAGCATAAGGTCCATAACATTTCCAATGAATCGTTTCAATTTCCGATCTCGTTTTGAAGCAGTGGGTTTCACTTTTTTTTTGTCAACTTTTGGTGTTTTTGGATTTTCAAAGTATCCATGTAATAATCAACATTTTTAAAACATGAAAGATCTAATCCAGTAACAATACTAAAGCTCCAACAACACAATACATCATAATAATTAACCCTCAAATGCCTCAAGGTTGGTATAATCAATATTTTGGGAGTAATTATAATTGATGAAAGTTGAAACCACAGAGACTTGAAAAACTCACCCTTTCAAACAGCAATGCAACAACAAATTCAGTAGGGGAAGCCTCTATGAGTCAATGTACTTGAGAGCCAATAGGTCCAACAAAAACAACATTCTTCAAGGAACAATTTGTTTGTATAAAGACATTTTAAGATACTGAATAAGTTCCACCATCATTTGCTAATATTCTCAATTTATGAATGGATCAGCTTATAGTTTTCTTTAATTGATATCGATCAGAATAAAAGAATTCAACAATTACCAAAATAAACCATCTTCAAAAAGATTCTTGAATTAGGGATTTCAATTAAAGCACTTGTACCAAAAGTTAATGATTAACTAATGTTTTCATGTTAGTTTGAATTCTCCAGTGTGGGTTATCCTGGTTAAGTTGATCAATGACAATACAACAATTCCAGTGACTTTCTATGAAATTGATAATGATTGTTTAACTATTTTATTCTCCTGTCAATTGATTCATTTTTTCAACTTCATTTAACGTCACGTGATGCGTGCGATAACCAGATATTGAAGAATTATACTATAACATAAGTTGATTTTTTAGTGAGAACTCTTTCAAGTGTTTGCCGCAGAGTCTATTTGAGTTATCTCTTTAATGTTTTTTGGAATGTGAGTTTAGCTACAAGTTCCTTTGGTTCTACATTATTCAAAATAATTAAAATTTTAATTCAAAAACTAATATGGGAAAAAAAAAACTATCTGGTACTCCAGATAATCTGTTTCATTATTTTTTTCAGTCAAAGATGGTTTAAGCACAGTTATGAGAATCATTCCCAAAACCAATAAAAGCTGGATCTTTGAGGTATTCAAGTATCTCGATTGACTTCTTTCTTCTTGGATGATTTGTGTCATTTGATCAGCCATTTCATCTTTGGAAAAAACACTCTGAGAAAATTGGCATCCAAAGCCTCTTTTGTCTCTTCAATAAAATCACCAGGGCCCTTCAGCTTCCTTTTGTTGAAATTTTTTGGAAATTTAGAACACAGGCTAATCCTACCTTCAATCAAATTAGTCAATTCACCTATATGTAAAAACTTGAACTCACAAGCATACACACCAATAAATTCCAAAGATTCACAATTTGGGTATTTCAAAATAGAAACATCCTGGATAGATAGTGCCTTAAGATGGTTATAATTTGATAGATCCAGTTCACCTGTTCCAGGGCTTCTCAATTTTAAAAACTTCAAATTTGGTGCACCAATTTGTAAATTGATAAGTTTAAAATCATGAGACCAATGATCCACTGAAAAGAGTTTCAATTTTGGGAAATCACAATTATAAAACCCTATTTTGGTGACTAAAGTTCTAAATATCCCCCTACGACTATAACTTTCAGTTTTATTCCCAAATATTAATGTTTCTAGCTCACTCAATTTCAAATTACTGAATTTCCACTCTAAATTTCCTAAAGTTCCTTCAATACGATTATAATAATAAATTCGACCTTCAAATTTTAAAACTTTAAGTTTTGGTAATAGAATAGGTATATTATTGAAAATATCATAGTTAATGTTACATTTCACCATTGAAAGGTTTTCCAAGTTTGGAGCATTTGGTTTCAGCTTCTCATCAAAATCGACATATGAGAGACAAAGTGTTTTCAAACTGGGGCACTTAACAAATGATAACTCACCAACTGCACCATTTTCAACTTCACAAATATGTAAAAATTCCAATTTCTTTAAATTAACCATTGAAATAAAGTAATCATTACATGTTGTTAACTCTTTGACTTGATCAAAGAACCCTCCATGATTTATCTCTTGGACTATTGGATAAAAATTGGGTTTAAGTTTCAACTTTGTGAACTTTGGAGCAAAATTTCTTTGACATTCACCAATAAGACAATTATTAGCTTCAATAGTTTCTAGTGAATCGAATTCACAATCTGAAATAGTTACAAATTGTTCACAATATAATATTTTCAAATTTTTCAACATTGGAGCTTTAATTCTTGAAAAATTTAAAACATTATCAACACCTATAGTAAGATTCACCAAAGTGGACAAATTCAATCCATCTAATCCCCCAGAATCATACAAATGTTCAATTTTCAAAGTTTCCACACCTTCAAGTAGGTCAACAAATCGACTGCTTGTCAATAGACTTTCTCCAGGGCGTATCAAAGTAGTAGTTGCAGGAAACTTCAAAACATCAGGATCATTTAAGCCAGTGACCTTTAGTTTTTCCAACAAAGGCGATACAACTTTTTGATTGTGTTTCTTTATAAACTCAACATTATAAAGCTCCAAGTATTGTGCTTCTGGTGCATAAAATGGAATAGTCTTATAATCTAAATATAAGTCAGATCCTTTGATCTCTACCGAGTCAATATTGAAAAACTTTGAGTCAGCCATGGGTTTCAAACTTATCAAAAACTTTGCTAAAACTTCCTCATTTTTGGCTAGTATTGAAAGATGGTGGGGAAATTTTCCTAGCAAATGTTCGGCAAATTTTTCAAATGGATCATCGTAAACATCTAAGATAACTAAAACCAGTTGTGGTGTTATTTTCCTCTTCTTGGATTTATATTTCATATTATTAACATGACAGGTTATTGAATCTGGCGAAGTAAATGATGAATTTGAATACTTCAAGATTGACCAATTTCTCCATATTGGTTCCAGTTCTTTGATTTGTGCGATTGTAAGGAGATCTGAAGGGTTTAACCAATAGCTGATACTTTCAAGAACCTCTAGTGGGATTGATAGTAAAGAAGGCATACTTGAATTTGACTGGAAGTAGTCTTGATGTTCGCTTGATAATGTTTGTTAATTGAAAAAGTTTATGTGTTTTGTGAACAATTTTTTTTTTCTCAAAGTTCTCAAAATTCAAAGTACAGTAAGCAAAAGGAATTGGTTGATAACTGAGTGAATTGAAGTAATGTGTAATTGGAAAGAATTAGTCTATTTCTTGTTGGTGATACATTCTGTCAGTACACTATGAGATGGTTTGGGTGTTTAGCTTATTAGATAAATAAACGTCGGCTATAACCGGTGGTACTGTCAATATTGTCTTGCAGATAAACGTTAGAAAAGTAAACAAAAAAAAACTAATCATGTTAAAACTGGTATAAATGAAGCTTTTACTCTGATTATGATGCGGTTGAAGATTTAACCAAATGATTCATATTATGGTAAAATTATTCAATATAACCATGATCAGTACATTAATTGTATTATAAGTTACTAGTATAGCGTATATAATGTTATCCTATAATTATAATGTTGTAACTGTTAAAATAACGTCGTATCCAAATAATCGCAAGGATAATCAAACTCCACAATATAATGATAATTGTGAATTGTATGATCATTTATCGTAAAAATATAATAAATAACCATGCAACCAGTTATTAATTAATCACAGTAATTGAGCAATTAATATTATGAACTAAGTCATCTCATCCACCTTCGCAATTGTGAATTAATTAAAAAGCTTCAACAGCCACAATCGAGAAGCCACTGAGCCACTGGTTCAAGAGCAAGAAATGGATTGTGTGGCTAGAGGCCAGCGGCTAGTTTAGCTGTGCTTTTGTGGCTAGTATGGCACCAGGTCACGTGCCGTGCTGTGACCATAGGCTTAAAGCTTCAGAGATTCGTAATCACCATCCACAGTTGGCGACTCAGAAGCAGCGCTCTAGCCATCGCAGTGTGGCAAAGCGAAGAGAACCAATACTTATACGCTCCAGGATGCTCTGATTCTCTGCTACAGACCTCGTTAAGCAACCACCAGAATGTCTGATATCGAGGCTAACAACAACAACCCAGATCAGGACTCATCCTCGTCTGGAAGAATATATGAGTTGCACCAGTATCAAAACTATGATTCGATACCCTTGCTAGAGTACACTGAAGACCAAGTCTCCATAAAAGATTGGTGCAAACAATATTTCCATTCCCCAGGTGAAAAAGCTGTCCATTATGCTCGTTCTCTATTCCCAATCCACAGATGGATCTTGCACTATAATCCATCTTGGTTATACGCTGATGTTGTTGCTGGTGTCACGGTAGGTGTTGTCATGGTGCCTCAATCAATGTCCTATGCTCAAATCGCTGGGTTAGAACCTCAATATGGGTTATATTCTGCCTTTGTTGGTGTCTTTATCTATTGTTTCTTTGCAACTTCAAAAGATGTTTCTATTGGTCCTGTTGCTGTTATGTCTTTGGAAGTTTCAAAAGTTATAACTAGAGTTCAAGAAAGAGATCCTTCTTTACCTGGCCCTGTTATTGCTACTGTCTTATCTTTAATTTGTGGTTGTATTGCCATTGGTTTAGGTTTATTAAGATTAGGTTTCATATTAGAATTCATTTCAATGCCTGCTGTCTTGGGGTTCATGACTGGTTCTGCTTTTAATATCATCGCTGGTCAAGTCCCTGCCTTAATGGGTTACAATAAAAAAGTTAACACTAGAGCTTCAACTTATAAAGTTATCATTAATACTTTAAAACATTTACCTGATACTAAATTGGATGCTGCTTTTGGTTTAATCCCATTATTTTTATTATATCTTTGGAAATATATTTGTAACGTTGGTCCAAAAAGATATCCAAAGGCAAGATTATGGTTTTTCTATACTCAAGCTTTAAGAAATGGTGTTATCATTGTTATTTTCACTTTAATCTCTTGGGGGATCATTAGACATGATAAAAAATCTAAAAAAATTTCAGTATTGGGTACTGTTCCATCAGGTTTACGTGATGTTGGTTTAATGGAATTTCCTGATGGTATAATGTCCTCATTAGCTCCTGAATTACCAGCTGCTACAATTGTTTTATTATTGGAACATATCTCAATCTCAAAATCTTTTGGTCGTATAAATGATTATAAAATTGTTCCAGATCAAGAATTAGTTGCTATTGGTGCCACTAATTTAATTGGTACTTTTTTCAATGCTTATCCTGCTACTGGTTCTTTTTCAAGATCTGCATTAAAGGCTAAATGTAATGTTAAAACTCCATTAGCTGGTATTTATACTGGTGCTTGTGTCTTGTTGGCTTTATATTGTTTAACTGATGCCTTCTATTATATCCCAAAGGCTACTTTATCTGCTGTTATTATTCATGCTGTTAGTGATTTAATTGCAAATTATAAAACTACTTTGAATTTCTGGAGAATTGCACCAATTGATGCTGGTATCTTTTTAATTGCTGTCATTATTACCGTTTTTTCATCTATTGAAACTGGTATCTATTTTGCAATTTGTGCTTCTGTTGCTGTCTTATTATTTAATGTTGCATTCCCAAATGGTGAATTCCTTGGTAGAGTTAAAGTGGCTCAAGTTATCAATCCAGATTTGAAATCTGTTGATGATTTTTCAAATGATTCCAATTTAGAAATTGATGAATATGCTAATTTAGATTCCAAAAATAAATTAGATTTCATCAAATCCAAAACAAGATCAACTTCTAATAATAACAATAATAATAACAATTTGAATTTCATCACTAAATGGGTCCCATTAAACAAAAAAAATCTAAATAAAGATATTGATGTGCTACCACCTCCAAAAGGTATCATTGTTTTTAGACCTTCAGAATCTTGGACTTATTTGAATTGTTCATATCAATTTGATAAAATCTTGGAAGAAGTTAAATCTAAAACAAGAAAGGGTAAAATTAATACTTCAATGAAAAATATTGATAAACCATGGAATGATCCTGGCCCTCTAAGATTCTTCTGGTCTAAAAAACCAATTGTTTCAAGCCATGAAGATGATAATAGACCAATTTTACAAATTTTGGTTTTTGATTTCAGTTCAGTTAATCAAATTGATGCAACTGGTGTTCAAGCTTTAGTGGATTTAAGAAAAGCTATTAATAAATATGCTGATCGTGAAGTTGAATTTCATTTTGCTGGTATTCTAAGTCCTTGGATTAAAAAAGCTTTAATAAGTGCTCAATTTGGTATTGAAAGAAATGATGCTAAAGTTAATAATAATTTTGTGGATATTGTTCAAGATGAAGAAGCTGTTTATGGTTATAATGCTGCTGTCACCACTGATACTCCTTATTTCCATTTGGATTTACCTTCATTTGATAATTATGAAGATTAGAGAACGTTTTTTAGATGAATAGTTTTTGGTTTTGGTTTATCGTTCGTTTTTTCTCAAGGTTTTTTTTTGTTTGTTTTCACTTCTTTTGTTGTTATTTATTATATTTTAGTCTGAGACTAGTCTGAGACTATAAAAATTAAAAGGGTTTATTAGGTTATTCAATACAATTTGCTTTTGTAGATTCCTTTATTTTTCATGTAACACATTTTATCATTAAAAAATATTTATATATAGTAATAGTAGTTTCCATCAATCAATTCCAAAGATAACAAAAAGCACAACAACAAAATATTACTACACATCTAAATCATCTTCTGGAGTTAATGCACAATGCAAATCATACCATTCTTCACCACCATGCTGACATTTGCTTACACCTTTGGTAATAAACCCAATTCTATTATAAAAAGGTAGTAAATTTTCTTTAGCAATGATTGCAATTTTATCACCAACTTGTTGATTTGATAATTTTTGTATATAATCATGTAATAATAGTGTAGCTAGGTTTTTCTTTTGATAATTTGGATGAACAACAATTGAATGTATACCAATAGTTAATGAAGATTCAACATGCCCTTTTTTACGTTCAGATTCATTTATTATTGTACCCTTTGAGTTCAATTTTGGAATTTCCATAGCTTCTTCTGTAATAAAATCACCATATATCTTTGTACCTAAAATGTGTCCAATTAACTTTTCAGAAACAATTGTAGATCTTGGTTCTGGTAAATAATCATCATTAATGTCGTCAAGTGATTTCTTCTCTTTAGGAGCAGAATTCAATTCATCATCTTCAGCATCCACGTTATTTTTCAATTCATCGTCCTTTTCATGATATTTTGGTTCAAATTGTCTAATGAATAAACCTGATGATAATTCAGGACATGCTGATAATCTATAATTTAACCCTTCTAAACTACATCTTTCAGAAGGTTGGAACCCCAGGTTTTCCAATTCTTGCACCTGCTCGATGTCTTCCAAATTCAAAGGTCTTATGGCCAAATGTAGTGGTAAATCTGAACTCATTCTTTCCAATTATAAATCCAATCCGATTCAATGAGAATATCCTCGTTGTCGTCGTTCGTCGTTATTGTTTAACAAACTGCTCGTTGGCCTTCCAAAAACTCAACAAACAAAAAAACACACAGGTTCGCGAAAACCCAAACACCACGCGAAAAGGTCAAAAAAACGAGACGAAAAGATGAAGAGTTTCCAATTGAATTCTACACAGAAACCACGAGAAATACAAAGCAAAATGGGCACTGAAATAGCTGAATCCACACCATTGAACCAGATACTGCCTTTGGAATTGGTGGACAAGTGCATAGGATCCAAAATATGGGTGTTGTTGAGTGGTGACAAGGAATTTACAGGAACTTTGGTTGGGTTTGATGATTTCGTCAACATGGTTTTAGAAGACGTTACTGAATAGTGAGTATGACCTTTTCATTTTCGCGAGAACGGTTTAACTAATATTTAGTGACATTGATGGTACAACTACACAAAGACCAAAGATACTATTGAGTGGGAATCATATTGTGATGTTGGTTCCAGGAGGTGAAGGTCCAAAGAAATGAAGAAATCTACTGTTATGATAATAAATAATAATGTACATTATGAGGGTTCTAAGTGTTTATTTGTTCTTTTGATTATTTGGATGTAGTTGTGGAAGTTTCTGACAAGACATCAACATTTGTGGAACTGGCTCTCCAACAAATCAACATGAATAGAGATCTATATGGGGCATAATCTTTTGCTATATGCTGAACATAAAGATCATGAATGATTTTCCAATCTCTCTTTTTACCATCATCAAACTTGGACTTCTTTTTTTGAATTGATGTGTCAACTTCTTTTTGTGCCTTTTGCAAAATTTCTGGTCTTGATTCAAGATATCTTGAAATCCCTCTAGCAACACCAAGATCATCACTTGCAAAAACATCTAATTTGTGTAATGCAAAAGTTAAAAACATCTTTGCACTCCACTCTCCTATACCTTTGATACTAACTAATTTCTCCAAGATATCTTGATCTGAACAATTTTCAAAGATTTTTTGTGAAATTTCCCCATCAATAAAATTTTGACAAATAGATTTAATATATTCAGTTTTCCTAACTGATAATCCTGCGCTTCTTAAAGTTTCATCTTTAGTATTTATAACCTCTTGTGGTGTTGGGAATTGACCTTTATCATTGAAAACACCAACAAATTTGGCTTCGATTGATCTAGCTGCAGCCCCACTCACTTGTTGACCAATAACACTTCTACATAGTTTTTCAAAATGGCCCTGGTCTGTATTAGAAGGTTTTTCAGATGGATGGAAAGGTCCAAATGGTTGACTAACAATTAATGGATACAATGACGGATCTATAGTTAAAACATGTTTAAGACCTTTGACAAATTCAGGTTGGTGTAGAGATTTGAAGGATTCTGGAAGTGACAAATCTGAAGGAATAGGGTACTGGAGTAATAGTTCAGCTTCTCTTTGCTTGAATGAGGTCTTCTTTTTTGGACTTTTCGGCGTTGCACTCTGTCTAACTCTTTTCTTCTTTGGAGTGGATGGGATATCCTCATCATTTATGGGTCCCAATTTATCACCATCTTGTGGGAAATCTCTCACGATTGAGGCAGATCTCAAAGTTCTTTTAGCAGCAGACATATAGTTCACACTCTTTGAAACGTTCCAGAAGGTTCTTAAATGCTGAGTTCCAAGGTGGTGGCGAATCATCAGTTTTTTCCAATTTGCCTCTTTGATGTTGAATTTGTCAGGCAGATCTACAAAATCAAGGGAAAAACTACTTTTGACACATCAACAAAACCATCAACAACAACAAATTACAACAACAGCTCAAAATGGTCAAACTCACAGCGTCTGTCGAGGATAAGGATCAGTTCTTCCCTATAGACATCAGCACAGAGCTCACATTGCTCGATTTCAAAGCATACTTGAGCGCAGAATGTGATATTGATCCAAGTGATCAGGTATTAATCCTCAACTCTGTGGAATTGAAAGGTGATGACAAGACTTTGGCTGACTTGGGAGTCAATGATAATGAGCTTTTGATTATAAAGAGCAAGAAGGCGGTCCAACCACCATCAGCACCATTACAACAACAACAATCTGCAACCAATAGTGGCTCAAGTTTGATAGATCAACAAGCGGAAAGATTAAGACAAGAGATCCTAAACAATCCAGCTGCTAGAAGACAAATCACAACCTTAAATCCAGGAATAGAGAACGTACTCAATGATCCAGTTCAATTTAAAAACGTTATTGCCTCCACTTTACAACAACAACAAAGCTCAAATTTCCCTGGTGGCGCTTCTCAAGAGGAATGGTTGAGATTACAAAGTGATCCTGATAATCCAGAAAGTCAAAGAAGAATAATGGAACTAATCGAGCAAGATCAAATAGAAGAAAATATGAGAAATGCATTGGAATTAACACCTGAAAGTTTTGCTAGTGTTTCAATGTTATATATCAATTGTGAAGTTAACGGACATCCAATTAAGGCATTCGTTGATTCTGGGGCTCAAACAACTATTGTTAGTACAAGATTAGCTGAAGAATGTAATATTGCAAGATTGATTGACAAGAGATTCAGAGGTGAAGCTCGTGGTGTGGGTAAAACTGAAATTTTAGGAAGAATTCATAGTGCTCCATTGAAGATTGAAAATCAATATATCCCTTGCAGTTTCACGGTATTAGATACTCCAGTTGATATGTTGTTGGGTTTAGATAGTGAGTACTTGTTTCGAATACTTTAAAGTAAATTTTACTAACAAATCTACATAGTGTTGAAAAGACATCAAGCAAACATTGATTTGAAAAGAAACGTTCTAGTTATAGCAGACACTGAAACTCCATTCTTGAGTGAAGCTGATATACCACAGGGAATTTTCAATCCATCAGCTTCAATTGGTCAACAATTAGGTGGTGGTCCATTACCATCTTCCAATGCTGAAACAGCTAAACCACCAGCTGCTACTGCTGCTGCCAATGCTGCAGCTTCTAGAAGTCAATCATCCACTGCTCCAAGAGCTCAAGCACCACAAGCTAATGTTGATGAAGAAACTGTAAATAACCTTATAGGATTGGGATTCTCCAGACAGGAAGTTATAAGAGCATTGCAACAAACTGGTGGAAATGCAGAATTAGCAGCTTCAATCTTATTTTCATAGATCAACATTTGAATACTTTCTATCATTTGTATTAATGAATTTCAGTGTAGGATGACTCCCAATGATATCTTTTGATAGCCCAGTCCATATCCATTGTACTTTATTCTTTGGAACATTAATTTCTGCTATGAAATTTTCAATAAATGCTCTATCATGCAAATTTATCGAGTTTGTGTAAACTAAAAATTCATTGAAAATGGAAACCGAAGACCAAAACGACAACTTTCTTAAACATGCAATAGTTAATGAAGACACTTGCCCCCCATTCAAACAGTGAACGTATAAAGGTGAATAATCAACGTTAATCATCAATTCCAGGGCCTTCACAACAGCTGAGTAACCTATTGGAACACCACGTTTCTTACGTTTACCACCTTCTTTCCCACATTCAATATGAACCAACTGGATATTGTTCTGCTTAGCAAACTCATACAATGCCCCATCAGTCTCTGGAGTAATTGGTTCAGGAGTCAAAGACACAATGTATTTTAGCCTTAGTCGTTTGAGAAAGCGATAATTGATCTGTCTTGGGTATGAGCCTCTGTAAAGATGTGGCTGGAGAGCGCTGAATCGCAAAGGAGGCACCAAGGGTTCGACTGAGCGGGTTGACATCATCAACAAAAGGAGGATTTGGTCTGTTTCGTGATGGGGTTGAGTCCTGTCAAAGAGTGCTTTGTGAAGTTTTGATTTTTTTCCAAAAAAATAAGTTGAAAGGGAACACGAACGTTCATCAAACAAACATCTCCATTTGACACCATCTACTCAATTTGCAAAGAAATACATCTAAAGCTGCTTAGCCCGATAGTGTGACTTATAAACAGAGAAAATGGATTTGATCTATGAACAATCTGCTAATTCAAAAACCAACGAATCTCAAGAAACATTAAAAGCAACAAACTCTAATGACCCTTCAAATGAGTTAAACAAGAAAACTGAAGAGTCTTTTGAGAAATTTGAAAATGAAGTTTCAAAAACTTACGATGCCATTGAGACTAAAGCTTCAACATGGGGTGCTTCATTTGGTTCATTTATAAGTAATTTCAAAGTCAATGATTACATTAATGAAACACGAAAACAAGTTGAGAACTTTCATTTAGATGAAAAAGTTAATTTAACAAAATCCACAGTTACAAAGAAGTTTGAAGAAATACAAAGTAGACTTGTTAATGAAGAAAATACAACCAAGTCAAAAAACATGTGGAGTTTGTTATCAAATAAAACAAATACATATTTGGATGAATTGGATAAGGAATTAGAACAAGTTGAGACGTTTGCAGGTTCATATGTTAACAAATTCGGTCAATTTATCAAGGACTCAATTGTAATTTCGAATCCTGAAGATGAGGACGAATTGATTGATGATAGTGAAGGTGATTTGTTATTCAATGTTTTAGATGATTCCAAATCAAGACCCCAGAAAGTTACATCAACAAGAACTGAAGCTCAATTATATGCATTACATACATCACCAGAATTATATCTTACAAATGCTCAAGATGAAACATATGATCAATTCAAGAAAAGTTTCAAATTGGATTCCAAAACTGAAGATATTGCAGCTTTATTGAAACAAAATGTTGAATTGAACAAACTTTCAACAAGTATAGTCCCTGAAAAAGTCAAATATGACGAGTTTTGGACTAGATATTTCTATCTATACGATAAAATATTGAAAGAAGAATCCAATCGTAAAAAATTATTGAAAAAGGGAAATGATACAAATGAAACAAAATCTGAAAATGTTGAATGGAGTGACGAAGAAGAAGGTGATGAAAATGATGAAGCTAAAAATAAACATGAAAAATCAACAACTTCTAGTGAAGGTACCTATGAGCTAAAATCTGTTAATTCATCAACTTTAGATGTTACAAAAGAAGCTAGAAACACGAAAAATAAGGATAAAACAAATTCAAACAAAAATGATGACAACGATGACGATGAAGACGATGATGATTGGGAATAAAAAAGATATTATATAATTACAACTATCTTAAAATACAATACTATTCATTACTATTGACATTTTTTTTTCTATCTATCATTATTATACTTTTGATCATCTAATATTTAATTTTTTCTTGTGTAAAACAAAACATATGCATTACTGTTAACAACATAAGTCTTTGCAACATCTTTAACAACTCTCGTATCATCAAAATAACACCATTTCTTAGTTGATCCTTTCCATACATATGAAGTATAATGTCCACTTCCAAGTGTACCTGAATGGTTTGACACTCCATAAAGTGAATATGAAAAAGGTGGTGTTTGACCTCTTATTGGGAAATTTAAAAGTTGTTGAGCTTCATCTTTAGTTGTAACTTTCGGCCAATATTTTGTCAAATCCATTTCAAATGGATAATCAATAAATTTAGTGATTTTTTGTAAATTCATCCCAGTTTTAAATCTTTTCAAATGAATGATCAAATTGCTTGGTAATCTCGTTATGGTGATCTTTTTAGTTGATTTTCTTAATTTTTTACATTTGGAACAATTCCATCTATCTTCACCATCCAAAATTTCTAATTTTGTAAATTCCTCCAAACACTTATCCAAGGGTATTTTATCAACAGGTCTATTTGAAAACCCTTCTGGGATTGGTAAACTCAATACTGAAAAAGCTTGATATGTTGTCGATGTGGTACCACATTCTAGACATTTCAACTGACTAGAGTATTGACCTTGGAAGAAAGATACTATTGCACTAAAATCTGTCTTGAGATATCTTTCCCATTCAATAGTTGATGCTAACCTAATTGGCATTTTTTCTCTATAACTCTCTTCTTCTTCTGTTAATTCTTTAAGCCTTGGTCTATTACCAGCTTCATTTAGATCTTCATGAAGACCATCTAGAACAAAATTCAAAAATTCAGAACAATCCTGTTGATCGTCATTTTTAAACATCGAATTGATAGAACCGACTGCAATCTTAAAATTTCGTGGCTCATAGATTGAGTTTGATTTTTGGAAAACAGATTGTGCCAATTCAGCAAAGAATTTTGCCATAATACCCTTTGTGCCTAGCTTGCTGTTTATGTTAACATGCTGTTTGTATGACCCGTTCAAGAATATTTGCAATAACGGGATGGTACCAAGTAAACATTGAATAATTGAATTCATATAGCATGAGTTCCCAATATTACACAAACCCGTGGCACAGTGTAATTCTTGAATATTAATTGTATTAGGCTTCATAGTATTTCCATTTGAAACATCACCATTACTCGACTTTTTCTCTTGGAGAATAGTGGGCATTTTGGAAGATGAAACGTTATCTGTTTTTAAACTGGAAGATGAAGTTGATTTCAACGACGGGAGCTTAAAGCTGTTTGATCTTTTGATCTTAGGGGAAGCTTGTCTTTGAGTATAGAATTGCGGAGTCATTGATCTATTGAAAGAACTGGATGAGTCATGAAAATCTGTCTTCAATGGATTTGATAAATAATCATTGAAGCTTCTTGCAATAGGAGAATTGATAGACCTACTTTGGCTCGGTGTCCTGGACAGTAATCTTGGAGGTTGTGACAGTTCACCATGATTATGGCCAAAACTTGATAGCCCGAAATTTGAAATCCATGAATCCATCCCACCCGATAAAACAACAGGGGTTCTCTTTAATGGATTCTCAAATGATTTATAAGCCATTGTTTTAAAAAACTTTGACAAAGTTTCTGAGTCATTGATACTTGAAGATCTTTGGTCATAAATCACAATCAACTCAAATTCAGATCTCTTATTAAATAAAATCTTTTCAGACTCTGGGGATGTCAATAATGCAAAGTTTTCAATATCCGAATCTGTATACTTTGACCGTATTGAAACAGGCTCGATGCAAATAGTGGTAGCTGATCTTATGTGGTTTTTCTTAAACTCATCTCTCGATCTTAAATCAATAAGTAGTATTTCGCTCTTGTTCTTCTCTAGCAAGCCTTTAAGAAACCTTGGTTCAATAATCCCATTACGAAAAGTGTCAAACACCGATTCTTGATTCTTCTCTAAAGAGCTTGTTCTATTAAGCTCAGTATTTGAAATAGAATTTGAGTTTCCTGATCCTAGATGATCTTTGATAGTTTGAAAATGCTTATCATTGAAAAGCCTTGATGTTAAATCATTATAAATCTTGAAACATTCCTTCTCTTTATCTGTTGCTCCCATCTTATACTTTGAATAATCAGGAAGTTTGGGTATCTTTTCAGCGATGAATGATGCTGCAATCTTATAGTAGATGAAAGCTTTTTCATAATCTGGACCACCATCATTTACGACTTCCTTTTTGTACTATTGAAGTTAACGTTAGTTCAGTCATTTTAATCATAGAGAAAATCATACTCACATTATCATATGCATCTAATGATTCAGTCAAGCATTCATAAAAGGTTGAAGCCTCCGAGTCTTCCATGAACTCATCTACTAAAGTAGTTAGTTCTGAGAGACTTTTCAGATTATGCGTTTTGCCATTATCTTCAGTCATTTGTTTGGGGGTGGACCCAGGTGTTTTTGTGAAACTGTTACACAAAACCAGAAAATGTTTGCTTGCGAAAGTAAAATGCACAAAGACAAACTTTTATTTCACAATCTATGACGTTGAGTATTGGAGTGGATGAGTTGAGTTTGTGCAACTGTCGCCATCAAAATGTGAGTAAACAATCAATCAACTTCTTCTCAATCATTCTCGCGACCCTGCTGACACGTAGCACTTGTGCAGATTTGTGGAGCAATTCTTCGCGAAATCTTCACAATAGAAGTTACAACTCATTTGTACTCATCATTATTGGCATATACTAAATCAATCTCATATACATATAAGTAGGTAACGTGTCTCATGTGGAATATTTTTTTCAGGTAATGAAATTCAGTGATTATTGCTCTTACATATAATCTTCTGGACGATCTTGTTCCTCAGCAGTTCTTCTTCCTTTCTCTTTCAAGTCTTTATAACCTTTGGAGTTTTCGTCTGCAACTTTTTTTGAATAGCCCTTTTCGTTCGATTTTCCAAACTCATCCGATAGCTTCTTCATCTTGTTCAATTCTTCTTGAGTAATTTCAACGTTAAAGGCTTTTTGATCTGAGTTGATATCTTTATCTGTTTTAACCTTTTCATTTGTAGAGTGGGACCAGACTGTTTGGAAACGATATTGTTGGCATCTAGCAGCAGCTGATGATCTCACTGCAATTGGTTTCAAAGTATTTAATCTCATAAGTAGTGTCATTGTAAATTGTATTTGTAGTGGTTCTTTGGTTAAACTTGTTATGTGTAAAAAAAAAGAGTAAGGCTAAAAAGAAGAATCTACTCTTTATATAACCTTATTGAACTCAGCCAATTAGCAAAGTAAATTATTAATAGTGCATTACATTAGTACACCATTTCAGGAGACTATGTGTCCCTGATGTCAGTTGTTTGAGTTTAATCTCACGATTGCTGTTCTCTGGAAAATTACATTATACATCCAGCAATGATTACATAAAACTGATTGGTAAGTGGACTCCAGAGCTTTGAAGCTTATTTCTGGGCCTGAATGGATAAAAGGTGTGAGATACCAATCAGATATATATCAAAGACCAACGTACAATGATTTCATCTTACTTCAATGTTAGGTTGGTGGATTGAAACGGTTCAGAATCATCACCAGCAAAAAAAAATTTAGAGAAAAACAGTACAGAAGAGACAGGTACGCTTGAAAACGCTGAACAGCTGGACCTCAACCAAGATGAATGGTGAAATGAATAGCTTGAAAGATGTTGAATATAATCTCTCGCATGATATCAATACGATCAAAGATCTTAATTACCAACAGTTAGCTTTGGTAAAGTCAGAAATTGAGTCAGAGCTAAATAAGTTGTTTGAAGTACTGCAAAAGGTGAGCTATGAATATCTATCACCTTGACTTGATAAAACTAGAACTAACGCATATTTCAAGAATAAAGTGTCAATGGATTCTGCTTTAATTACTCATGATGGCTTTCCTAGATCTGATGTCAATGTCATTGAGATACGCAACGTTAGAGTGAAAATTATCAAGTTGCGAAATGATTTAACCATTGTTATCAACGCACTTAGTGAAAAACTACACTCACAATTCCAAAACACTGAACCTGAAAAGAAGATAGATAGTGACCTCTTGATTCCATTCGCAAAAGTCACTGAGGTGGTTGATAGCGGTCCTGCAGCTCAAGCAGTATGTATATCAAACAATTACAAACACCCAGCAGCTTTTTATTAACTGATTACAAACAAGGGTATTCGTGTCGATGATAAGATAGTTATATTTGGAACAATTAATGTCACAAATCATAACAACTTACAAAATATTGGACTGATTGTGAAAAACAATGTCAACGTAAGTAACTGAACTATCACGATGACTTTTAAATTTTTATTGAACAATACTCTAACAAAACATTAATAGAAACCAATTGAGATCAAAGTTCTAAGAGGATCACAAAAACTGCACCTGGAAATCAAGCCAACTTCTGACTGGCCAGGGAATGGTTTATTAGGCTGCCGTATCATTCAAATATAATGCCATGAAATCAATCTGGATTTCAGCCTCCATGTAGAGTAGAAGTAAATGCAATAACATCACCAGCTTCAAGTTCATATGATTCTTCACCTTCTAGTTCCCAATCTGTATCATTTATTAAAGTCAAGATACCTGGGCGACTGTCCAATGTTCTTGTTAGTTGATAAGTTAATAAAGCTTCGAGAATTTCACTTACACACTTCCATTATCCAAAAACACTTCCACATCTTTTGGATCCTTGATCATGTTATCCACTATGAATTTTATTAGATCAGCAACAGTTAAAGTTGAACCATCTTCTCTATCTGGTAATGTAACTTTGTGATATCTTTGACTTTCAAATATCACGTCTAGCCCACCACTTGCTCGGATGTTAATAGCTGTCCACTCCGTAATAGCGAGAATGACTTACAGAAACTCTAACTTGATAGGTAATGGCATATTGGATGGTTTGGTTTGACTACGATCTGGACTTTGGAGCATGCTGGAAGACTGTACTAGTTGATGAAAGATATTTTTTTATTGTAAAAAACAACATCCAAACACCACATGTTTTAATCAACCTGATCTTTGTTTGACATTTCTCACTCCCTTATAACAACGACTTTTCTGATCTCTGGACTTCTTACAATGCTGAAAGTTGTCATGGAAATTCTTTTCTTTGGATTCACTGTCATTATTGGACGCTCCATGAAGCAATACTGATCTGTGAGTTTCTTATGACACAAAAACACAAAACACAAAACACAAAACACAAAACACAAAACACAAAACACAAAACAGAAAACACAAAACAGAAAACACAAAACACAAAACACAAAACACAAAAGCCACTTCAAATATGTCTGGCTATGGTATGGTCACCACAAGTACGGCTTGTATTAAAACTCAATCTTGAGGTAAGTTACACAAAGAGGATCTGAATATATAAACACTACTTTATCACCAAATATTCCAAAATTTTTCTCAACATAATTTGAACTTCATCATTACTGAAAGCAATCTCAAATGATGCAACCTGGGTTACTTTATTTGAATACTATTTATCAATATGGGGGATCGTTTATTCTATTATAGTTCTCTGGGGTCTGGAGCATCAAATTTTTTCTTTGGAGCCAAAGGTGCCAACATACAAAGTGACTTCATTGACATATTAGATTCCAACTTAACTGTGGGCATGAAGGCTTGAACTTTCCAAAGCATTGCATGTTTCAATTTCAAACAGACTTCTTCGAAGTTTTGATAAAATGAGCCCTTCAAAGTCACGAAACTCACCTGTTCAATTGAGCATTGAAACTCAAACTCAAATATTATCAAATTCAAATAGCCTTCAACATAACAAAATAAAAGCTTCACAAGAAGGTAAAAAGGAGAACTGAAAGGCCAAAAAGAATTCAAATAGAATCTTCTAAAATTAAAAGAAACCAACCAACAACAATCGTTCGCGCCTTTAATCTGAGGTACAAATCGATAGCGATTGTATACAAAAATAGACACAAAGCATAGAAAGCTAAGAAAAGACTATAAACGTATTCTGCTATTGATATACCTATACGAAACAACATTCGAGCCCCGCCAGATAAAACACACAGAAATAATAAACGGGGTAAAACAATTTGAAAAACGACACTATTAACAAGAGATACTCCCAAACATAACAAAGCGTAAGATCAGGCGGAATCAAGACCAAAGTTGAGAAAGCATGCCAATAATGCCTCTGAATTCTAATGGCTTAACCCAAACACCGAAATATTGAAACCAAGAATCAAAGGACGCTTTGATAACCAAAATTTTAACCTTTGGAATATGTGATGCACAAATAAACAAGTTTCATGACCAGAATCTGTGCAAGACAATCCATATACCAATAACGCACCAATTAATTTAACAAACCTCTATTTTATAAAGAAGGGTCATAAAAACTGACAAAAATATAGCATATTGCCCAAAAAGCTACAAAAATAGCTAATAGCAAGGTACGTAGCGGAACAGCTAATAAATTAGCATGATCACTTAAACCAAGGGTTTCCAAGCAAGTTTTAATTATGTGAATCAGGTTTTTCATCACACAGTACTGAGAAATAGCCCAGAGTGTTATCTATTACACCACTTGCACAGATTTTCCTTGGTGCGACATTTGGTCACCAGAGAGATTCGTAAAACACTGTTGATGCATGCGGTATCCCAAGTTGTTGCTTATTCAACAGTATCTACAGGTAATAACCCTAGAAATGGCGGCACCAGAGTTATTGCTGTGGTGAGCTATTTAGAGCTCCTGACAACGCGTTGCCATAGATGTTTCTGGAACAGCGATTGTCTGGGGCTACAGCCGAAAGTCGTCTCCATAGGGAACAACCGATATAGATATAAAGTAGAAGTAGCACAATTTTGTACGCCAGACTTCATGAGCTTTAAACACAGTTCCAAGTAGAGTGTATAATGATTTTTCTTGAACGTATTCACCAATGATATCAATTTTTATTCCTAACCATTGACCATGATGATCATTCTTGTGACGTTAATACTAGTGGAAATGCTCACATCATCAGACATTAACAAGTACTGGCACAGGGTTGGCTAGTGACTCAATTTGTGGTGAGGGTATGACACTACCAAATGAAGTTGAAAGCATGCTCTGCAGAGGTGGTAGAAATGGTACCACCTGAGATGTTTTCTGGGGTGTGCAATTTATATCTCCAGGCAACAGGTTGTCATAGATGTTTCTGTAACAGCGATTGTCTAGGGATACAACCGAAACTCGTCTCCATAGGCAACAGCCGGCAGTAAAAAACCAGGACGATTTATGTTGAAGTTAGAAGCGAGATAGGTTAAGAAAAATGATGGTTGGCTAAGATAAAAAGAGCCGTATGCCCAGAAGAAGGCGGCTGTGTGTAAAGTGTGACCAGAGTATGACAAATTATGAGTAATGATGACAAATTGGTCATCATGTGGTGGCTATGTGGAACAAATATGAAACATTGACGGAACATTGTGGAAACATTTGGATTAAGAAAAAGAATATAAATATGAGAGAAATCCACTTGATATTGTGTATAAGTTTGTTTAATAAAGTATCGAGTGTAGAATTAATATGGATCATATTAATAATCGTATTGCTACCCTCCAACAATTTAGTAGTACCACAACAATATAAAGGAACCAGTAAGTCTGTGGATGATATTAATGTCTGATGTTGTTATAGATTTATTTCATGCTTTCAAAGCAGCTGCATGAAGAGTTTGTTAAGGTGCATCCTATTTTCTCTGAGGATGGCTAGCTCTGCACCTGTACTCTGAATTTACTAGATCTCGTTACTTTAACAGCTGAAGTCAAGATTTATTCCAGAGGGGATCCTGTTGTTAGATACTAACGTGACAGCCACAAGGCAATAGCGCGACTAAATGGTTTCCTGAGTTATAGCCCTGGAGATCAGTTTCTCGAGTTATATCTGTGGCAATGTGTTGCTTCAGCTATAACTCTGGTAGTACGGTCTCTTAACTGTGGCAATCTGTCGCTTGAGCTATATCCGGGGCAAGATGGTTTCTCAAGTAATGTCCATGACAATAGGTTGCTTGAGTTATAACACTTACAACCGTTTCGTGGGTTGTTTCCCTGGTGAGCTTGCATAGAGTTTCGTAATCGATAGCTGCATTGAAGTAGTTTGACCACGAATCCGGCTATTCTGGAGCCGTCGATACTCAACTTATACTTTCAAAGGCTCTCTGAGCAGCACTTGGTCCATTATGGAAGAAACTGGTTGCTTTTAGGGTCTTATAAGCATAAGTTTCCAAAAAGTCAATAACATCTTGAGCATCTGATTTAAATGCTCCTATCCAAAGCTGTATTTCTGAGCCTACTTTCTTCAGGAAGAAACTGGCTCAAGTCTCTGATGCATGCTTTAAGCTCTTGCCTATCAATACGTCTTACCTTCTAGCTAGCTTTGAACCTATGTTAATTAGTTATTGGCCTGTTACGTAAGGGTGCTTTAAGTAACAGAGCCTGACTTAAGTATAGAACCTTTTTCAGCTCTAGTGGACTTAATTCAAGCTCCCAAGAAGATTTTATATGGGAGTGTCTTAATCATACTCGGGAATTTATAATTTCGATGTTTTGTTAAGCTTTGGGACTTAAAAATATAGTTTTGCGAAGGTCGCTTTATCTGCGTGTGTGAGTCGTTTTCTCTTCTACTAGGAAAGCGTAACGACTTCTGTTCGTTTCCTGTGGTTTGCTGTTGTAATTTGATGCTACAGTTGATTTGGTGGTTTTAACTTTACTTTTGAAGTTTCATTGTACGAGAAAAGAATTAACACAGTAAGGTGTATGCTAGTTATTGATTCTACAGCGCTATGGTTCTATTTGCTTTAATGTTGTGTCTGTCAATATGGTTAATCTAAAATATAGAGTGTTTTTTGTAAGATGTCTGTTTCTTTGGTTTAGAACGTTATGTAGTCCTTTTCAAACAGTACTTGGTTTGGTATTTATCACTTTTCTGTTATGGGATAATGTGGTTTTATTTTCTGGGTGGATCATTTTTGTAGCAGTCAATGTTACTTCCCTCTTATGACATAGAGAGGATTTGCTTTATCAATAGTTTTGGTGATCTCTTGAGGCTTTAGCATGAATTCTGATGTCGTGTTGTGGTTGAGGATGTTCCTTAACCCCTGGCTTCAAATTTGCTTTGGTTTTGTATTTGATCCCTTCAATAAAATATAGCAGTAATGATGAAGTTGTATAATTTGCATAATTTCTTGTTCACCATCCAGAACGGTTGCTGTTCTTCAAATATTGCAAAGATTTCATTGTCATAATTGGTCTGAAATAATTCAACATTTAGAAAATAGTGATGGAATCTGCCTATATGTGGACATCCTTTCTGTATGTGACCTTAAAGGGAAGTATTAACTTTAATGTCAAGCTAAGCTATGAATGATATTGGCTAACTGTTCATTCAGCAGGTCCTTGTACTTGGAATTTCCTCTTTTCAATTGTAATGCAAGTTCGAAGTGAGCACAAAAACAGAGTTGAATTGAAGCGCCACTAATAACGGTGTCACAAAACCAATTTTATGACTGCCACAAACAGGAATCAAACTCCTCATAATTATGCGGGAAATGGAGGGATATTGATAGGAGCGGTTGAAATTTGAAGCTTGGTTTTTGTGTTTAGGAGAATTTGGATCCCTGGCGTCTGTGGGAGTAATCAATACCTTTCTTAATGAATACGCTGTGTTAATTCAGCACTGAGTATCAAATTTAATATGGGTTATTACTGAAGATGCAAAAGAGGCTCTAATGAGTAGATTGTTGAGCACTAAATTGTTAGATAAGATCATGTTGAATTCTGTCCAGGTTTGTAGATATACATTACATTTTGGCAGTCACAAGTTTCTCATCGTTGTAGTAAATTTTGAATGTGTTACAATCTATTATATGCAAAAAGAGTAGCTGTTAGTGAGTGTTCACTGTGTAGCACTTATTTTCGAACAATATTTGAAAACAGATGATACACCGAGGCATTAATTATTACTTGTGATCAAAAAACTATCCAGATAAGGACTTTTATTAATATACAGTATCAGACTTTCATCAATCAGACAGTTGATTTCTTCTTTTCTGCTTCTTTGGTTTTTTCTTCTTCAATTTGATTAACAAAGGTCACAATCTCTTCATTGCTTAATGATTCAACGCTACCAGATTGTAGCACTGAAATTTCAATATTTTTAGCTCCTGTTTGAACAACTTCCAATAAACTTTTGACTGCCAAAAGAATGGTTTCATCCTTTGACATTTCTTCAGTGTAATTCTTTTCTAGAAATTCACGAACTGTCTTACTGCTACGGCCAATAGAATTGGCTTTCCAAGCTGAATATATACCAGATGGCTCAGTTTGGTAAAGCTTTGGAACATTGTCATTTTCATCGAATCCAGCAATCAATGTAGCAATACCAAAAGGTCTAACACCACCTGATTGTGTGTATCTTTGTTGTACTCCTGCAACATACTTTGTTAAATAATCAATAGTAACAGGATCTTCTAGTGTTAATCTATGTGATTGTGCTTCAAGTCTTGCTTTATCCACTAAAATTCTAGCATCGGCATTCAAACCAGCAAATGCTAGGAAGACATGATTATCAATTTTTGTGATTTTACTTGGGGTGATACGTGGATCTTGTAATTTCAATGTGCTACGTCTTTCACATCCTAACACAACAACGTCTTTACCTTTGACACCAACAGCACATGTACCTCTCTTGACAGCTTCTGATGCGTATTCAACCTCTAAATACAGGTTAGTAAGCTATCATAAGCATATTGACAGATTGATATATTTGAATAACTTACGAAACACATGTCCGTCTGGACTAGATTATAATTGTTAGTATCAAGATCTTGATGGTGGCGAGAACCTTTTCCTCCAATTGAGGGTTATTTTGAAAGACATACCTGAAAATTGACAATGCACGATCGTAACCACTCATAATTTTATATAGATAATGAACTTCAGAAATTGAATTGAAGGTTTTGGGTTGAATTGAATGGATCAAAAGTAGATTTGTTAGTTGAAAAAGCTGTGAGCGATTCGTGATTTCAAAAGCTAATACTGATAATTCGCGAAACTAAACTTTAAAGAGCGGGTAAATACATCAAAAAAATATTATACGTATAGAGGAATCTAGATCAACTTTATAAATTACATGAACTAATGCCCTTTTTGATGTCGTGTTAAGTGTTTGATCCTAAAGAAACATTTGCCAAAAAAATGAGCCCCAAAGACAAAGTGCAGAACAAAACTCCCAAAAAGCCAGTTATTGCAAACAGAGAAGGGTTTTCGAGAGCTTCATTTTTATACCATGCTTCTCAATCAATGGCTTTGCAAAATGAGGCATTGTCCAGAATGTACTCCAAATCAATGGATTCTGTTACCAAAAAGAGTGTCTTGAAGCTCGACCCAAGCTTGAAAAGGACTGTATGTAAGGGTTGCCATAGAGTTCAAACAGCTGGTGTATCTTGTGCAATAACAGTTGAAAATGCAGGGAAACAAAGTGAGGTTTACCAGGTCAAATGCAAATGTGGGAAGCTGAAAAGATATCCAGTAGGTAAAAATAGAGATTATGTCTTATTTAGTGAGAAAGAGGAACATAATGTGGTTTGATGAGTTTATGGATTTCAACTTTTGTTTATGGTTTCACTTGTTGACTTCGAATTATGTGTAACGATTAATGAATTAAGATGGCTCTTTACATACTCAGTATATTCTGCGATTCATAATTCATATCTTTAACCATATTTAATCCATCAAGTGGACGCACGTCATCATAGTGTGTACTGTGAATTTAACTTATAAAAGTTTACTTTTCTTCTCTAACATTCTCTTTTGTGGGTAAACCTATTTGAAGAATCTCACGTTAGTATGGGTTACCTATTCCAACTCCCTTTATACATACCTTTGAACCTGTCCAATTGTAATGGAAACCAATTTCATGTGCTATTATTTCACCAAACCCAAGCATCAAGCCATTTATGAAAGGAAGTATCAAATTGACTGACAGTCTACCCAAAAACTTTGCGATTGAAAATGGTTCTTCTCCAGAGGAGAACTCAGTACTAGGAACAATTGATTCTTGTACTTCAACTTCCTCTTGTACTATTATATTTGCATCCTGTTCATCAACACCAGTTTGCTGTTCAATCACTTCTTCAGTAATTGTGACATCGGCATCGAAGGATTGTTCTTGATTGTCTGTAGTCTCACTTGGAAGATCGCTATAGATGCTGGTCATTTTGAACCCTTTAAATCAACTTTCCTCTGTTTCAATTACAATATTGTGAAGAAGAAAGATAATTCGAGAAAGCATTCATTAGTTTTTTGTTATGGTGATTACATAATTAATGTACGTGGTTGGGATTTTTTTTCCCTGTTTTTTTAGTCATACAAAAGTCAAAGATAGAGATAAACTTACACCTTCATAACGTTCAGATTTCCACATAGTTTTCTGGTATCATTGCTGGATTTTGATACCTTAATTAGGGAAACTGTAACAGTGCTGACTTAGAAAGTTTATTTTCACACAATTGAAAGTTTGGACGTACAATTTATTCTATTAAAATGTCTTCTATTTCTCCAAATGATACTGAAGATGAAGCCGATGTTGTTGGAAGAGCTCTTATTGGGATTGTTGATATTGGATCTAATGGTATAAGGTTCAGTATTTCTTCAAAAGCTTCACATCATGCAAGAATCATGCCATGTGTTTTCAAAGATAGAGTTGGTATATCTTTATTTGATGCTCAATATGATACAAATTCTACCGAAAAAAAACCTATACCAAAAGATACCATCAATGATGTATGTGCTGCTATGAAAAGATTTAGATTGATTTGTGAAGATTTCGGTGTTCAAGAATCCGGTGTTCGAATTGTTGCAACTGAAGCAACAAGAGAAGCTGTTAATTCTCAAGAATTTCGAGATGCTATTTATGATTCCACTGGGTGGGAAGTTGAACTTTTGAATAAAGAAGATGAAGGTAGAATAGGATCTTATGGTGTGGCCTCTTCTTTTGATTCTCTTTCCGGTTTATTTATGGATCTTGGTGGTGGATCTACTCAAATCTCTTGGATACAATGTATAAATGGTGAAATCACATTAAGTTCTAATCCAGTTTCTCTACCATATGGAGCAGCTGCACTTACAAGAAGATTACAATTTGAAGATAAAAAAAGTCTCTATTTTGAAATACAAAATGCTTATAAAGAAGCTTTCAAAAAAATTGATGTTCCTCCACAACTTTTAGAAGAGGCTGAAAGAAATAGAGGTTTTGATTTGTATACATGTGGTGGTGGATTAAGAGGTCTTGGACATTCATTAATAGCAGATATTAAAGAGTATCCAATTCCAACAATTATCAATGGATTTTCATGCTCTTTTAATGACTTTATTGGAATTTCAAATTATTTGTTTTTAAAAGATTCATTACCTCAAAAGGAATCTATCTTTAGAGTTAGTGAACGTAGACGTTCACAATTACCAGCTGTTGGTTTATTAGTCTCGGCTGCATGTGATTCACTACCAAAGATTAAGACCGTCCATTTTGCTGAAGGTGGTGTTAGAGAAGGTGCATTATATTCAATGTTACCAAGAGAAATCCGTGCACAAGATCCATTAATTATTGCATCTAGACCATATGCCCCATTATTGGCTAATAAGTATTTAGAGTTGTTAAAGACTGCTTTGCCTGAGAAATATGTTCCAAAAGAAGTTAGAGAAAGAGTTGCCCCTGCTTTATGTAATTTAGCATTTGTTCATTGTGCATATCCAAAAGAATTACAATGTACAGCAGCTTTACATGTTGCCACCACTGGTATAATTGCAGGATCTCATGGATTATCGCATAGAACAAGAGCTTTAATCGGGGTTGCATTATGTGATCGTTGGGGTGGTGATTTACCAGAAAGTGAAGAAAAATTTAAGACATCATTATGTGATCTTGTTAAAAGAGATGGTAACAAAATTGAGATGGAACGTATTGTTTGGTGGACTAAATATTGTGGTACAATCATGTATGTTATATGTGGTGTCCATCCAGGAGGTAATATTAGAGATGGTGCATTTAATTTCAAGATTGTTAATGGTGATATGGAAGTTAAAGATGAAGATGAAAAAAGAAAATTTGATGTTATTGTGGAGATTTCTAATGATGATATCAAGACAAGTGCAAGTGTTCGTGGAAGAATATTGACATTACAGAAAAAAGTTCGTAAACTATCAAGAGGCAGTTCGGAAAAAGTTAAGATTGGTGTTCAAATCTATGAATAAGAATCCATTCATCTACATTATATATAAATTTTCAAATAATAAATTCTATATTATCTATTTCCTCAAAATTGTGAAAAAGTAGTTATCAAAAGTAAAAACAATGCAGGATAAATAAAAGTAAAAGCCAAAAGATGCCAGTTCTGACACAAAGAAAAATAAACAAACAAAAAAAAAAGTATTTTGATAGGGTGAAAAAACAAACAAACATGTATAATTTTACATAATATAACTCATCATCATTAATAGTTTCCCCCTGCTTTTTTTTTCTCCATGGATGTCATTAAAAAACGTTAATAATTGGAAGTAGGGGATTGTAGTATTGTATGGAAATGCAAGGAATTTGAAATAAAACTATTCAATTTTTAACACCAACACTTTTACCTGAGGCTAATCTTTTTTCTGTTAAAGCAGCAATGATGGCAGCACCTGCACCAGACCCATCTTCAGCTGGAACGATAACGATTGGATAATCTTTTGGTTCTAAATCCCAATCAAAGATATCTCTTAAACCTTGAGCAGCACGTTCTTTAAAGCCTGGGTATCTGTTATAGACTGAACCATCAGCAGCACAATGAGCAGTGGTAAAGTTTCTCTTTTTACAGATGGCAGCAATACCACAAACAGATAATCTTGAAGCTCTGTTACCAATTAATTCAGCTAAACGACGAATCAATTTACGTTCATCCAATGTAGTTTCAACACCTAAAGTTTCTTTGAATAATTCTTGAGTATCTTTTAATTCTTCAGAAGGATCTTCTTCAATTTTAGCTGGAGCAGAAGTATCAAAAATGAATGGTTTGCTTAATAAAGAAACATCTTGATTTTTGAAAATATGTTTGTCATTGTATAAATCCAACAAGATTAAACGAACCAATTCACCTAAATAATAACCACTAATCATTTTTTCAAAACTTTGTTGACCAGGTCTTGGAGATTCCGCATCAACTTGAAGATCATATTTAGTTCTTGGTAAAACTTTATGTTCATTATCAAAAGCACCATATTCACAATTGATAGCCATTAATCCATTTTGATCGATATCATCACTCAATTTACCTTCTAATTTAGGGATATCTTTAACAATTTCATAATAAGCACCGTTACAACCAGTACCAAAGATTAAACCCATTTTGGCTTCTGGATCAGCATAAGCAGAAGCAACTAAAGTACCAGTGGTATCATTGATCAGAGCAACGACATCAATTGGGACATTACGAGCAGCTAAAGCATCTTGTAACATTGGGACGACATCTTTACCTTCAACACCTTCGATATCATAACCTTTAGTCCATCTTTGCAAGATACCTTCATTAATAGCACCTTGAGAAGCTGGGTAAGAGAAAGTGAAACCTAAAGGTAATTTTTTGGAAGCACCACCTGGGAAATGTTCATCAACAAAGACTTTTAATGAGTCAGCGATAAAAGACCAAAGATCATCAGCTTTAGCAGTTCTAATGTTATCAGGTAAAGCGTATTTAGTTTGGACGGTATCGAATTTTGAGTTACCAAGTAATTTAACCAAAACAACTCTCAAGTTTGTACCACCAAGATCAATAGCCAAATAATCACCAGTTTCTTGACCAGTTGGGTATTCCATGACCCAACCTGGAATCATTGGAATGTTACCACCTTGCTTTGAAAGACCTTTGTCCAATTCAGTGATGAAATGAGCGGTAATAGTTTTCAAAACTTCTGGGTTGACGGTTAACAAGTCTTCCAACTTGTGAACTTGTTCCAAAAGTTCAGGGTTAAGACCCTTTAATAATTTCTAAAGAGTTAGTATAGATACAAACAACACAAAACAAATGTGGACATACTTCTCTGTTGATAGCAGATTGTTCAACTAATGAGACCATTGTAGTTGTAGTAGTAGATCGTGTACGTGAGGGATAGTTAGACAGATGACTGACTAAATAAAAGTTGTTCTGGGGAAGTGAAAAAACGAAAGAGAAAACAGGAGTTGTTGGTACTTTTATAAGCTTCGAGAGCGTTGAAGACGTCAGATGGTAAACAGAAAAAAAAAAAAAAAAAAAAGAAACAGAAAATTACCCGTTTAACAGGCGGTGGATGGATTATTATTGCGGTAGTCACTTTCTGGAGAAGCAGACAAAGGGCAGAGCTGACTGGGTTACATTATGGACCCAGTACTGGTCTGTGCGTGGGTGGTTGTGCCTGTGGATTATTAGTATGGGGTTGGGTTGAGTTCGTGTCGTGTCGTGGTGGTCTCTTGATCTAAATCTCGTGCCCCAGTTATTGCTGCAGCAAAACCACTCGACAATTGGCGAAACCTGGAGTGTGTCTGGCTTTTCTGTTCCTTTCTATCCTGAGCAGAACCCCTGGGTGTTTTCTGGTGGAAGTGAGTTCTTTACCATTAACTACTCACACAATCTACAACCTATTCGATCTTCTACAACCAAGTATTCTGTCGTAAGTACTCCTTCTCGTGTTTGTTTGATTGTGAAATGGAAAAACTCGTCATGGAGATTTTCCGAAGTGACAACAAAGTTTTGGGGATGTACAGCTCCAAACTTTCGCTACAAGTGGTACATTTCCTCTCTGATACGATGATCTGATACCTTATTACTCTACAAAACAAACAACAAATCATAAGATTTCCAACTTTCCCTCTGTTCATATTCCAAATCTCCATTTTGTCTCCGGATTTTTTCCACCCTGTATCGAATGATGAGCACAAAAATTTTTCCAGATTCTCCAGAAAATTCCGTGTCCGTTGCAGCAACTGTGTGGGATGTATTTTGTAATAACAGCGACTGAAGGGAGTGTCGTTGAGTTAAAGTTGGCAAATAGATGCGTTTTCACGATAAGCTTAAGCCATTGTATGTGTTGAAAGGGGCGTAAAGCTTATTCCAGAAGTCTGTTTTTCCATCAAGCTAAAATTTACCTCCAGAGTCCATATCCGGAGAAATCTGGGGCGTCTCGAATCATCGTCAACTCTCAAAATTCAATCCACGAGGATATTTGTAACATCGTCTTGTTCAAAGGTGGCCTCGACTCTCGTATCTTGTATCCAATTAAACAAGGAACAAGCTTGATCTAGTTCAGATACCCTCAGTCGGCCCCTTAGCAATAGGTCTCTATCGGTGACGACTACACATGGGAGCATAAGCTATCTACAAGAAACAAAATCAGATATCTTGCCAGTGTTGTAACTTGTAAATTCGATGACGAAGCTACGGGAGCACGATAGCATGCGTTGAATTGAATCCCATAGACACAACGAGCTTCAGTATCATCAAAATGCTCTGGCTTGTACTCACCTTAAAAAACGGACAAACTTCCTTCATACTTGATACTTCCATACACTTTGAAACAAAGCACAACATGCTCACTTGTGAACAAATCAACCAAAAGTGTTCCAATCTTCATAATTGGCCTTTTAAAGTGCTTGTATGTGTTTCGCGAAAATGCTTACCCATAATTTACGTAATCTTTGGGAATTTCTGAAAATCAACAATTTGATTGAACAAATCTCGATTCAAAATGTACACAACAGATCAATCCATACAACTCATCAAAAGTCCCCATTCTCTAACCTCAATTGCCCAATCACATAAACCATGACCGATATAGACTCCGGTGCTCCAAGAATACCTAACTTTGAATTGGCTGATAATGCCTTTTTATTGACAAAACATGAATTATCTCATCGCCACCCAAAGGCTTTAAGTTATTTGAAAGAACAAATTGAAAAAGAACATTTAGCTCCATATTATTATTATTTACAACATGAATACGTTCCAAATGCATTGAAATGGGATCAATCTTTATATGAATCTTTATTGAAGAAAAATCAAGAAGAAATATCAAAATTGAAAAAATCTATTGAAGAAGTTGAAGAAAAAGATGAAGGTCAATTAGAAACTGCTGAAGGTTATAAAAAATTAGGTGAATATTATGCTAAAATTGGTGATAAATCAAATGCAATTACAACTTTGAAAAAAGCCTTAGAATTAACTCCATCAACTGGTTCCAAAATTGATATTTCTTTAACAATTACAAGAATTGGGTTTTTCTACGATGATAAAAATTTCATTGCCAAACAATTAGAATTTACAAACTCTTTGATTGAAAAAGGTGGTGATTGGGAACGTCGTAATCGTTATAAAACTTATCAAGGTTTATATTTATTATCAATTAGAGATTTCCAAAAAAGTTCAAGTTTATTAATTGATTCATTAGCAACTTTTACATCAACTGAAATTGCCACTTATGAACAATTGGCAGTTTATGCAACAATTGCAGGTGGATTTGCATTAACGAGAAATGATTTGAAAAGTAAAATTATTGATTCTCCAGAAATTTTATCATTATTACCAACTACACCTGAATTAGAACCAATAACTTCATTAACAATTTCATTATATACAAGTGATTATTCATCATATTTCAAATTCTTATTACAAACAAATGATGAAATCTTATTACCATCAAGATATTTATCAATACATTCAAATTATTTTATTAGAGAAATGAGAAGAAAAGCTTATGCTCAATTATTAGAATCTTATAAAACTTTATCATTAAAATCAATGGCTGATGCATTTGGAGTTAGTGTTGAATTCTTGGATAATGATTTATGTAAATTCATTCCAAATAAGAAATTAAATTGTGTTATTGATAGAGTTAATGGAATAATTGAAACTAATCGTCCAGATAATAAAAATGCTCAATATCAATTGTTAATTAAACAAGGTGATTCACTATTAACAAAATTACAAAAATATGGTGCTGCAGTTAGATTAAGTGGAACTACAGAACGTGTTGCTTAAGTCATGTATAATAAATTTGATTAAACATAAGTTTTTGTACGACCTTCAAATAAAAATTGAACAATTGTAGCTTGACCAAAACTAATTGCAACCATTAATACTATGATACCAATTGATAAATAAACCATTCTTGATTCAGTTGATTGAACAGTTGACATATTTCTCCATTCTCTTGCTCTTAAATAATCCATAATTTTAGCAATTTTAACAACATTTCTATCAATTTCAGATAAAGAATGTTCAGAAACAATTGAATCTTTATCATTTGATAAACGTTCTTTATTTTCTTTATTTTCATATTCAATTGAAAATTCAACTTTTTTCAAAGTATTATAAGGATTTGAAAAACAAAAAGTATATTCACCTAATCCAAAAGTTTTCAAAAGGAAATCAGCATATTTTTCATTAGTTTGCTTTATAATAGTTTCACCTTTTGGAGATGTGATTTCAAAATCTAATTCAAAATTACCACCTTGTAAAACTTGATAATTTATAATTAAAGCATGATCATCATTATCTAAATTGTTATAAATACACTCTTTAGCAAATGAAGGTATATTGATTGAAACTTTTTGATCAGCCTTAACGAATGATAAGCAGCAAAGCACCACCAATAGTGATGACCATAACAATTGTGAATACTTGAGCATTGGAACTATAGGGGCATAAAAATGAATGAAAGATCAATCAAAGATCAAGTTGGTTTTGTGCTTTTTGGTTGTTGTTTTGTCGCGTCGCCTTTTTTTTTCTTCTTCCTCGACATGATCTGGCCTTTTTTTTTTTCGGTGCTTCGAGCGTGCGACAACCAGATGAGATTGACACCTACAAAACAGAAATAACTTCAAATTATTAGGCATTATTTCATTGCTTTATCAATGGCATTTGCAATGTATTGTGTTAAATTGATTTCCAAGTTGTCATTTGACCCTTTGATCACATCGATCTCGGCTTTTTTACCGAAAAACATGCTTCTTTGTAACTCAGATCTCCAAATCTCTTGTTGAACATCATTATAAAAATCAAGTTCAAGCATCTTTGATGACAATGTAAAATCACGTATTGTTAAATCAAGACAGTCTAATTTCTTGATGAAATCCAAGATTGTAATATCAACAAGTTTTAATCTTGGACAATCAAATTTTTGATCTTTATTAACCATGAAACAATTTGATTTATCACCACCAGATTTAAACTGTTTCATGATATTTAAACCATAAGGATCAATATCAGCAATCCCCAAAACAGGTAAATGTGGGTAAGTTATTGATAATAAACTTAGGAACCGTTTGGTCAAATGATCGGGGAATCCTTTACCTGTGACTATGATTCTATTAGAGTTAGTTGGATCACAAAGTAAATTGAACACTGCATCTTTTTCTACAACAAGAATGTATTGAACATCATTTGATAATTGGATCTTGGATTTGTTGTTCAATCTGGGGATTAAAAAACTGCCTTGTTGTCTTGTGAATATTTGATCTAGATTTGGATTACCATTGAGTAAAGTAACATCACCAAAACATAACCCCTTTAGGGCAGCAACTGCACCAAGTTCTTGATTTGTGAAACCTAATACATTACATAAATCTTCAATTATAGCATCCACATTTGCCTGATTCTGGAATAAAGAAACATCTTGGTAATAAAGATCTCTTTTAGTTGTTATGATGTTTTTCTCTAAATTTTCAATCAATAATGAGATCAATCTGGTGTACATGGCTGGGGAATAGTTAGCATGGGGGTCGTAAGACTGACAAACATGTCCACTCACCAAACTTCATAGCTTCAGTCTCTGACTTTGCAGGGAATTGTATATTTCTCAAAAATTTAACCTTTTTAGAAGAAGACCTAAGAGCTGGCGGTTAGTATGGTGCCCATTTGAATCAGCAGTAGATTGAAAACATACGCTGAGCTGCTTCCAAGCTCGACTTTGATGTGGATTGCGCTGCCAGCGAGTATCCCATTCTCGATGAAAGACCTTATGGAGACTAGTTTCTCTAGTGGAGAGCGTCTGCAACAACGAAGATTAGTAACTGGATGAGATCTGTGCTTCTGAATGGTATCCAAAAACTACCTGTTGTCGGTGTGCTGGGCAACGTCTGGGTGGATGTGGACCTGTCTGGTGCTCTGCTCAGTCCAATTCTGAGTGCTTATGGACTTCATTGTTTATGTCTTTCTAAAGGCTCTTCGTTGCAATGGTTTTGGAATGTTTGATGTTTGATGGTTAATTTGTTATTCCTGGCGCCCACGGGTTGTTTTCAATTTTGGCCGTGGTGATTATGTCATCATCCTGGTGATTCCGGGGTAGTATCAGTTTGACATCATCATTTCAACTTGTTCCAACTCCCTAAAACTTTTATTAAGCAGCCAGGTACACCGTATAAACTGATAAAGACAATGCTCAGATCAAAGATAAAGCCAGCCAGTACCTTCAACTCTTTCAGGTCTTTCATCAAACAAAGATCCATCTCAACCGAACCATCCACTCCAGCAATCAATGAAGTTGTTGGTAACAACATCAAAGTGATCCATAATCACAAATGGACATCTTTTGAATTCCTAAACCAAAATAAATCATTCAGTTACAACAATACTTTTCTTAGAGATTCTTCAACTTCTTCAAGCTCAATTGATCCAGAATCTGGCCAAAAATTATTCACCACGGCTTCAATTATTGAAAGTTACCCAAAATCAATTGAATTCCCTGCTAATGATCGTATTCAAATCACTTGGAATGATGGTGAAATATCAGAGTTTGATCAATCTTTCTTGGAATCAAATGCAACTATTGAAAATAGAAAATTCGGTAAATATTTCGATGAAGATATAGTTACATGGGATATAAACAAAGAATTAACTATTGATAATGTTCCGAAAATTGATTATAATGATTATTTAACTAAAAAGGAATCAATTTCAAAAGTTTTAGAGAACTTAAACAAATACGGTTTAAGTCAAATTATAAACATTCCAACTAAATCTGATAAGGATCATGATTCATCTCCAATTGTTCAACAAATTGGTGAAAGAATTGGTTATATCAAACAAACTTTTTATGGTACCGTGTTCGATGTTAGAAGCGTTCCAAATGCTAAAAATATAGCTTATACAAGCCAATTTTTACCTTTACATCAAGATTTATTATATTATGAATCACCTCCTGGTCTTCAATTGTTACATTTCATCAAAAACAAATCAATTGGTGGTGAAAATGTCTTTGCTGATGGGTTTGCTGCTGCAAGACATGTTAAGACTGTGGATCCTGAAGCTTATCTAGCTTTACAAAGTGTTCCAATCAATTATCATTATGATAAAGATGGCCATTCTTATTATTATTCAAGACCTTTAATTGTGGAAAATGAAGTTGTTGGGCAAGGTGTTTATGGTGAAAAAGATCATTTCAAAGAGGTTAATTATTCTCCTCCTTTCCAAGCACCTTTTGATTTTGGTATCACTGGTCAACTATTAAATGAAAATTCCTCAAATATTAGTGTTGAATCCGGGGCACAAGAATTAGGTGATAGACACGTTTTCCAAGATTTCCTTAGAGGTTTAAAAGAATTTGAAGATTATATCAATGATCCTGAAAACCAATTGAAATTCAAAGTTGAAGAAAACACTTGTATCATATTTGATAATAGAAGAGTCCTACACGCAAGAGACCAATTTGATAATAATAGTGGAGAAAGATGGTTGAAAGGTTGTTATATAGATAAAGATGCTTATTTATCTAAATTAAGAGTTACAAAGAAGCAAATCAAATGATTTGATGGCTTCTTATTTATTTATTCTGCAAATTTACTTGTAAGAGCGAAAGGTTTTATGGTTGTACAAATGAGTATCTATAGTACTGATCACGTGTAACGTCACGTGTAACGTCACGTGAATGACTGTTTTTGTGTTGACGATTTTTTTTTATAAAGTTTTGAACGCGTCAAATTTCACGGCCCAAAAACTGCAAAAGAAAATATTGAGTGTTGTACAAAAACATCAATAAATTTCACCTTCAATTTGGTTGGTTTTGAAATTTGTTGAAACAAGCTTGTCTGTGTGTGTGTCTTAAAGAGGTTGAAATAGTCAGAAGTTGAAAGCTTTGAAGATCGTGATCCAGCTTAATCTACAACCACTTTTCCAATTATATATCCACAACAACCATGTCAGATCTTCAACCTGATCACTATAGGGATTTATTGACATATCATGGTGCTTTGAAACAGTTCCTGAGTGTATCAAATGCTTCAGCTAAGGCAAACCCCAAAAGAGCCGCTAAGGCTAGAGAAAAATTATTAAAATTATCTGCAACTCAATTTTATGAATTAAGCACTGATGTTTTTGATGAACTTGAAAGAAGAATTGATGAATCAAGAGAAGAACCAGATTTTTTACTGCCAAAGTCAACTTTCCATCCTAAAAGAAATGAAGCTAGAGAAAAATTGGGTTCTTTACAACAAGGCAGATTTAGAGATTTGGTTAGTGATATTTTTTATGAAATTGAAAGAAGAGACTATCATAAAACTCAACAACGTGCTTCATATCACTCTTTTGATTATGGTGGTCAAAGAAGTTCAAAAGGTTCAAATCTTAATAATGATCTTAATCCTTCTCCAGCTAATGGTAACATCAACAAGAATGGTGTCGTTGGTTTACAATCAACAACGGTGATCCCAACTAAAGCTGAACTTGCATGGAGTAGTGATGAAGGAGAGGATATGGATGAAAAGAACAATGATAAACAACATACAATAATACAAAATCAGAAATCATTTTCACCATCAACATCATCACCATACCATAGCCCTCAAAAACAACAACAATATCATCAACATCAACACTCCACGGACTATCAACAATTACAATCAAGATCAAATAGAAATAGTGATTTATCCTCAAGGAATCGTAATAGTAATCCTTCAGATAAAGATGTTCTTTCGGAAATGGTTGACTCCGCTCCAAAGCATTCAACAGCTCAAGTTAATCGTGGATTATCATTATCTAAAACAAGAAATAAAGATAGAGAGATTGAGTTGTTATTGGAAGAAGGTACAAAGATGGATCAAACTATAACTCAACTTGAACAAAAAATTGCATTATTACAAAGTAAGTCTGATAAATTTGAAAATGAAACAAAAGATTTGAATAAAATAAATCAAAATCTTAGCTCAAAAGTTTCATCATTAGAAGGTGATTTATCAAACAAAATTGAACAATTGAAGCAATTGGAACAAAATCAAAAATCAAGATCTCTCGATGACGATAATGATAAACTTCCACCAACTAGAAATTTACAAGTTGACACAAATTCTGGTAAAATTGATCAATCAGCGTTGGATGAATTGAAAAATGAAGTGTTGGATTGGAGAACTAAATTTGAAAATTTGAAATTGCAAAAAATTGAAGATTTGTTATCAATTAAAACCATTTCACAAAGTTCAATTTCTAATCTATTGGACAACAATGGATTAATCCCGTTAAACTTAGTTAATATTTTGCATAAATCAATTGAATCATTTTTGATTTCATTAAATAAAGATAAATCAGCCAAATCCAAAACTGATGTGAATACTTTATTTGATCATATTTCCAAAATTTCAAATATTTCAGGGAAAATTGCAAGTTTTGCACCTCATTCTGACAAAGCTGAATTGATACGAGCTTCAATCTCTCATTCAATTACATCAGCAAGGTATTATGCTCTTTATTCAGAGTTTTTGCCAAAGCTGGTTGTTGAAAGTGCAGTAAGTGAAATTGCTTTTAGTGTTTGTGATTTGATTTCTGAAGTTAAACTTAATAAAGATGATTCAAAATATAGTGCATCTGAATTTGAACTTCCAAATACAGCTCTAAATGGTGATGAAGATGTTTCAAATGAAATTTCACCTGTTAGACCTTTGAGAATGACAAAAAAAAGTTTTGAAAGTCCGTCATCGAAAAATGAACATAACACTACAACTTCTTCAACAACTCCAAGACCTTTGAACTTAACCTTCAACTCTCAAGGTAACAATATATCAACACCATCAACTTCAAAGAAACCTTATCAAGGGTTAAATGGATTGACTTCACCAATTACATCAGCTAAGAAAATGGAATTTGGTAACAAGATTTCACCATCATCCTCTTCAAGAGATTTAAAATCTAATAATGATGCATCAGGAAGTAATCCATCTACTCCAACTACTACTACTGCAACAATGAAGAAAAATGCTTTCCCATCAGTTATTTCAAGATATTCTCCAGAATCTGATAGAAAAAGCCCTGAAAGTAATACAACCACTGCACCTTCACTGAGAAAATCATCTTCAAGTAATATTTTATCAAAAGTTAGACAATTTGAACAACAAGGTAATGGTAATGGAACAGTTTCACCTCAAAGATCTGTTGTTAGTCCATTTTCTGATAGCAAATTTGGTAGTGGAGTGAGAAGAACTAGTGTTGATAGCCAACCTGAATCAATCGAGGTCCCAAAAGAGTCGAATGATTTCAAACGTCCAGCTGAAACAGTGAAAACAACAGATGTTAAAATGAATGATTCTTTGAAAACTTCAAATGAAGTTCCAGAAGTGAAGAATGTTGAGGAAAATATTGATAAGAACACCAATCAAGTTTCTAATCAACCAACATCAAAAGATTCCAAAATATCATCGTTGCCTATTCCGGTTGAAGCAAAAGGGATTAATTATGATGATGGAGAAGATGATGACGATGATGACGATGAGGTCGATTTCACTTCTATTGATAAATTGAAAGGTGCAATCAAGAAGAATGCTGATTTAAAACCAAAACCTTTAAAAGATGAGCTAGAGGAACCTATTGCTGTTGAAGATAGGGCACCAAAAGAAGAAGATGATGATGAAGATTTAAATGAACTGCCTAATGAGGAAGAATATAACAATGTGGAAAACAAAACTGCCCAAAACCCTTCAGAACTCAACAAGGATGTGATTTCAAAAGAACTTAGAGGTGATGGGTTAGAACATCACAATGGAAATGATGGTTTGAAGATTGAGCGTAAACAATTAAACCAGGCTTTTGTTGAACCTCCAAGTAATTTAGCTGCTTCATCCAAATCTATTGAACCACCAATTGATAACACAGTCAAATCATTAAACCTTGGAGAGCATAAAGCAACAAGTATTATTGAAGAAAATTTGAACCCGAATCCAAAATCCTCAGATAATGGAGCTCAAATTTCACAAGATGATTTTAAATCTGCACATGAAGCTGTCCTTTCTGAAGATGAGCAAGATGAAGATGGACATGATGTTCAACTGAAGTCTCAAGGTACTACAACAGATGTTAAATCAAATGGAAGAAATTATAGAAGTGAAGGACGTGATTTGGAGGAAGATTTTGATGTTGGGCAATTTGATATTGAAGATCCAGATAATACGTTATCGGAGTTGTTGTTATATCTTGAGCATCAAACAGTTAAGGTTATTTCTACTATTCAAACATTATTGACATCTATCAAAGCTGCTGACTCTACAAAGGGAGAATTAAGATCAGGATCAAGAGCTATCAATGCTGTTGTTTCACAGATGGTTGATGCTACAAGTAATTCTATGAATCAAAGTCGTAATGGACAATTAAGAGAGCATGGTATTTGGGTTGTTCAAAGTTTAGAAGATTCAGGTAGAAGAATGGATATGCTGTGTAATTCATCTAGTAAAGATGGAGAAGATAATGAAGATGATAATGAGGATTATGCAGATAAACATTTCAAACAAAGATTAACAGGTATTGCATTTGATGTTGCCAAATGCACGAAAGAGTTGGTGAAGACCGTTGAGGAAGCTAATCTGAAGGAAGAGATTGAACATCTGGATGCTAGATTGGGACATTAAATTGGATCTGTACAATAGACACTTTTAGTTATTACACACTATCCTTTGTAGAGCTCACGTGGTTGGTACGGAGTGCGAGACGGCGGTTGTGGCCGTGGCTCCCCGCAAATGCTCATACTTTTTGCAAAGAGGAGAGCCAGTGATCAGAAACAGGATCAACATCAACAAGAAAACAGTAAACATCAACTTCAAAAGCCCTGCGAAACTCAGTGACAGTCGCCACCAGAAACAAAGCTGATAGTCCCTTTGCCATACCGTGATTCTCACCACTTTGATGCGTCTGATCTGAGAACATAAAGCTATTCCCAGTGTTTTAGTCGACTTGATATTTAAGTCATCCTGCTGCCCAAGTTTGCCAATTACTCGAGACCTCAAAGTAAATAAGAGCCAGATGGTTTACTGATAATGTCACTCACTCACCATAATAATAATAATAATAGTAACATCAACAATAACAACAACAACATGATCTCCTCTGAAGGTTTAGACAACAAACCAAATCGCCACTTTCATATGAACAATCCAAATGGGTTTAATCTGGGGTTTTCAAGCCTGAATTTTCAATCTTCTCCAAATAGTTCCTCTCCAAGTGGTGTTTCTTCTGTTGCTGATCAAGTTGGTGCTATAGGACTTCGTTCCTCTTCTCAAAATGCTATCCCTTCTGTTAATGATGCTAAAGCTGGTGATACACCTATACCCAACCCATTGAATCGTTCTGATTCTTTGGAGAATACAATAACTACCACAAACAATAATATGAATTCAAAAGTCAATAAAAGATTGGATAGAATACCGGAAAATTTGGGTCCAAATGGTACAACTCCATCAGGTAAACCCAGATTATTTGTTTGCACCGTTTGTACAAGAGCTTTTGCAAGACATGAGCATTTGAAAAGACATGAAAGATCACACACCAAAGAGAAACCTTTTAGTTGTGGTGTTTGTCAAAGAAAATTCTCAAGAAGGGATTTATTGTTAAGACATGCTCAAAAATTACATGCTGGCTGTGATGATGCAATCAAAAGGTTAAGAAGAAGATCTATTCGTTCGAAATCAGTTTCAAGTCCTTCAAATAAAGAAATTTTAATGGCTGATGAAATGGATGTGGATTCTGATCCTAAAGCCAAGAGACAAAAGGTTTTCAATGAAGGTGATTCTGGTGATGGTGAAAATTCACAATTGTTGACTCCATCAGTTTCTTCAAACAACACAAACTTATTGTTTTCCAATTCTCAACATCCACCTCACCCAATTCACTCTGTATCTCATGGGAACATTTTCTCAAATACTCATAGTGGTATAGGTGCATCTGATTTCAAAGGTCGTCGTTCTTCATTTTCTGCTGCTTCTGCTTCGAACTATGCAAGTGTTCCTCAAAGTCAATTAAGAAACAATTACTACCAGGATTCTGTTGAATTCTCTACTCCTCAGTTGTTACCAGTTGAAAATTTATTGGGTTCTGACAATTTAAATCATCAAAGTATCAATACTTGGTTGTCTGATATTAATGCGTTACCTGGTTTGGATTTTTTGAACAACTTTTCCTTGAATGATTCTCAACAACAACAGCAACAACAAAAAGAACTTGATAATTCTGTCACTCCATCATCATTACTTTCTGACTCGAAAGTTTCCTCCACTGGGTCAAGACCAAAAAGACAAAATGTTGCAAGAAGAAGTCAATCACGGAAATCCTCAACAACAAATTTAAAACAAGAGACTGATATTTTTGGTTATTCATTTTATGATGATGACTACACCTTAGCTAATCAACATGATGAGTTTCAAGATATGAAGTTTTCTTACCCTAAATTACCTTCATCTTATCTTAAAGAATATTCAAGCTCCTCCCCAGATGGTTCAAATTCAAACAATTTGAATGATTACGAATTGTTAAGTGAATTAGAAATACCAAATCATGAAGAGAAAATATTGGCTGCTGGTTATTCATTTTATGGAAGTAATGATTTTGCACCTTCAACCATGTCACCTGCAAATATGTTCAATTTGAAATCTGAAAATGACACTTCTGCAATGGATATTGATTCTCATAAAGATTTTTCAAACCATCATGAAAATCAAAACCAACAAAACGGTGAAAATGATCAATATGCTGAAGACCTTTCATCTGAGACTCTATTTACTGAAAACTTGAAAAGCAACATTGAAAAAGTATTATCAAAATATCCATTTGTCAACATTCCACCACCTGATTTACCTCAATTGGATACTTTGAACTCATTTTGTCAAATCTTTAAGGAGAAATTTTTGTCACATTACCCATTTATCCATTCATCTATTTTGAATGAAAAGACAATGTATCAGTATACCAAAAATGATGATTCTCCAAATGATTTAACTTCAAATGTGTGTTTACCTTTGTTGATTGCAACTACAGGCTCATTATATTCAAATAATAAAAAGATTTCTGCAGATCTATATGAAATCTCAAGACGTTGTATTCATGTTTATTTGGATCTAAGAAAGAAAACGGATGATGCTGAAAAGGCCACAACTCATAATTCTCCACTATGGTTGGTTCAGTGTTTGATATTGAGTGTCCTGTATGGTTTGTTTGCTGAGTATGATGAATCTGATTTGAGTATAATTTTGAGACAAGTCAATGCCTTGTGCACCTTGATTAAAGTTTCGAAATTTACTTCCTTAAAATTTGAGAATGAGAATATTGAAATTAATGAAGATTATTTCAAAGAATACATTCTATATCAATCCAAAATTAGAACAGTTTTCATGATTTTCAACATTTCAAGTACTTTAACATGTTTTTATGACTTGACGCCATTTATTAAATACAAGGAGATCAAATGTGATTTACCAGATTTGGAAAATTATTGGACATGCTCAAATGTTGAAGAATTTAAACAAAAATGTGTGGAGAATAGTTCTTTGAATTATTGTCTAAATTTGGAAAAAATTTTAAATGACATGTTGATGAATAACCAAATCAATTACAAAATGTCAGAATTTGGTGCAAACATTGTTGTTTTTGGTTTACTACAGTATTTTTATTCCAACAAAAAAAATTCTTTAACAAACTTTTCAGCTGGTGTTTCTCCATATCATTCAAATTCATCAAATTTGGTTAAGAATTATAAATGGGAAGATTTGTTGATTGACCAAAATCTGAATATCAATTTAGAATCAATACTATTGAAAAACATTTCAGTTATCCGTTCATTGATGATTGATTTATCCAAGGTTAAAGAATGCATGTGGCATAGACGTTGGAGTGAAATGAGTCAAGAGTTTATTAGAATACATCCAAGAAATGATGATTTGATCGATGCTTGCGACTATTCAATTAGAACAATCAGTTTGATTTTCATTAATGATATTGATTCATCAAATTTTAAGAAATGTCTATCTTTGACCTTACAATGTTTATTTTTCAATTTTTTTTACATTGCAAAATTTTTGCACAGTTTTGAAAGAAGAATTTTAAAGTCATCAGCAAGTGCATTAGTCATAGAGAATATGAAACCAAGTGAATTAAAGTTGATTTCCAAAAACTTTTCAATTTATATCAAAATTGCTAAATTTTTGGCTGATTTAGAACAAATTTTGGTTCGTAATTTCAACTATCATGATATTGAAAGCAAATTGGCTACCAAAGAATTTGATGAAACACGCTATAATTTTGGAGTTCCACCTAGACTTTTGAATGAGTCAGATTATACAACAAATATCAATATGACACAAGTTTCTCAAGTTGCAAAACTTTGTTTATCTTCAAGTATTTTAAAGATTGGTGAATTTGTTTTCAACTTGGTTTTTGAAAAGGAGATGAACTTTAATATTTATAAAAGTTTAAGTGATGGCTTATTCCATTTAAGAGTTTATTTGGAGAGTGACCTTCAACAAAAATGAAAAACAAATACAGTGTATCATAGAACTATACTACCATACAAATATTAATTAATTAACGACTTAATGATGTTCATGTTCAATGAGAATATAAAGCTAGACAATTAAAGGTTTCCAAATCATTATTTATTATTTATTATTTATTATTTATTCATTATTTATTTACTTTTAAAACTACGTTTGATTTTACTATAATACTTCATTATCTTTATGTACAATTCATTTACTGCTCCATTTGAACTGAGACTTCCAAGGGTGTCTACTGATAACACATTGAACTAACCATTCCCAGTCTACTAATTCCATTTGTAACTTTTGATTACTTGACAGCACCTCAGACAATATTGAATTCTTTTTAATTCTTCTTCTTTTGTTATCATTAACCTTATGGTCTAAAACAGACTTTAAAGATGAAATTTTGTCATGATAAATCAGTATATCTTTGTTATATGAGTGTTCAGTCACTGTACTGATCAAGTTTGTATAGTTTGTTATAGGTACAAAACTGACTTTCGCGGCACCTAAAATTTTAAACAAAAATTGGGTTATTTCAATGTTCTTCTTTGAACAGATGAACACATTTTTGCTCTCCAAAATCCTATTATTTCGCAACTGTTGTGATAAATCAGTTTTTGAAATGTAACCTTGAATAAACTTGAAGATATCAGCAGATTTAACCTCACCACGAAATTTTGAAGATTCACCTGATGCTAATAAATAGGTACTGATATTATCAAGTAATTTGTTATCAGAAATACAATCATAAATAAAGTCCTCAAATAACAAGGGCCATCCTAGAGCAACAGTTTCAAGATATTTGGGGCTTCTCGAATACTTTTCAGCGATCAAAGCTCCGAATTTGAAATCTTTAAAAGCATCACTTTTTGGTTCCCCATTGGAAAAATCAATCATTGAAGCAAACCCATCATCTAGTACAGTACCCCCATTCATCACAATAGCTTTAGTTAAACCATCTTTATCAACTTCACCTGTTATTACAAACACACATTCATGAAATATATCACTTGTTGTTTTCTTTGGCTTCTTTGGTGTTGACAATACAAGTTCTTCCTCATAGGTCTTTGGTATAATTCTTTTCAACTGTTGTACTTGATTGATTGAAGACCTTTTGGGTTTTATCTCATTCAAAACCCTTGGTCTTCTATGCCATTCCTCATTTTCAACATGAACCTCTGCCAATGGAAACTTTTCCTCTGTGTCCAAAATCTTCATACTTTTACCTTTTCCCTTGACTCTTTTAACAATAACAGTATCGTAGCCTCTCATGCAGCGTATGGCTTTCTCCTTAAGATTTTGGATGACACACTCCAACCCTGTAACAAGATACACAAGTCTGCCAATTTTAACTGTATCACCAATTTGAATATCTAATGGGAAAATTCCACCATTGACCTCATCTGTAGATTCGAAGAACTTAACCTCCAGTCCCTTTTTACCCAAGCTCAGTATCAAGCCAGGATAATAACGAGTATTAGCTAGGCACCAAACGCTATCTTTGAATCTGATATCCTCTTCACTCAAATTGTGTGTCTCTTCTCTCAATATTCCATTGGGTAAGACATTTACGTCATATTCTGGGGTCAAAATACTTTGTTGGTCATTTGTAGAAATGTCATGATCATTATCATCAATTTGAGAAGTATTGGCATCTAAAACTATGGATAAATCAGAGTGATTAATACTTTTATCGGGTGAGCTAGTGAATTGAAGCTGTAAATCATTCGCTTTGGAGGATTTTTTCCTTTTAGAATTTCTGGTTGGCCTTATAACAGGGTTTGAGCTTTTTGAAGTTCCTTCATTCCATTCTGTTTGTAACTTTAGATTATCGGCTTCTTCTTCAATTGTATTATCAACCACTTTACTTTCATCATCAACATCTGAAAATTCTTGTGTTATGTTCTCAGCCAAAGCATTGAAATCAACAGCCTGTGAATGGAAACTCTTATTGGATGTATTGATGGTATTTGTTTCGATGTTATTGTTGTCATCAGCCTTTGCCTTTTCAATTTCAAAAGTGTCCGCTTTTTCACGAATTGCAGGAGACGATTCTTCAACATTTGGAGAGGAAGTTAAATGTGATTTGGTAACTTGTTTTGGTGCACCTTGTTCTTGAGTATTTTTATTG